ACACACACATAAATATCAGTCATTTCATTAAGACCCATTAACAGTTGCAAAGCACCCACTGATCTGGATCTGCACTAAACGTTTTTGGCTTCTTCCTTTAGAAATGCTCCACCTCTCCACAGCATTTCATGGAAATAGTAGTTTTATGTAATCCTGCCAACTAACAATGAAAAAAGAAACTCCTTAGTGCAGGTAATTGGTTATTGTGTTTTTTCAGTTTCTTTCTTTCTTGTTGTTTTCAGTTTTCATTTGCAGATTGGTTTTGTTGAGGTAACATGACGACTTGGTTCAGTGTCTTCTCTGCCAGAAATTCATCCTGGCATAAAAGCCCTGAAGACAAGCTTCTCCCATGTGCTGTTTATATAAGAGCTCACACTGGGAAGAATATTCACACATTATAGTGGACACGCACACACAATACAGAAGCTACTGTATATACATCCCATTCATTATGTATACTCACTGCACAATGCAGCCAATAAACATGACTCACAACAGACACAGTGAAATGTGAGCACACACTTGACAAACTGACAAACACACACAAATTCTAAACATACACTGTCCCAAGTTTCTTTTTCCCGTAGAAGAATAAAATGAGCCCGAGCCACTCTGCATATCACGCTACATGCATCCATTACATGTTTCTGAAATGTATGTTGTAGATAATTCCAATTTAAATGTACTGCACAACACTTTGTGGAATGGGTCAGGGTGCATAAACACAATCTCCTCAGAGAGTCAGCCCCCCTGGCACAGTTAATGTATTGATTTTACAATGTTGTGTCTTGATAAAACTATTTCATGAATTCCAATGAGACTCCTTTACCAAACTGCCAAAACAACCAAGGAATATGTCATTGTGTGTTCATTGCTGGTATAATGCGTTTCTGTTAGATTTCTATTGGGGGGGAGGGGTATGTTGGGGTGCAGGCTTTAATCTCCTGTCATTTAGAGCGATACCTTGTTCCACCTCAGTATAAAGAGCACATGTCTGATACACACACGAACCAGACTTCATCTTGATTTTACATATTGTTCACATGCACACGTGTGATGGTGTGAGCACGTTCTTCTTGTGACATACATGATGTATGTTATATATTTTTTCATGAATTCACAAATTGCAGCTGCGGCCGGACGTGCATTTCCATATCCAGTCTTGTATTGATGATTAATCACAACACAGAAATCAACAATAGACTTTTAAATTTCATTCTTTGCTCCAAGGCTGTGACTGCCTTATTTATAAATCAGTGATATCTCTGTGGGATAATTCATAGCAGTCATAAATGCCCTTCTAAAATAATCAGAGAACACCTCTATACACAGCGCTTTTTCTTCCACACACCATTCAAACACTCGGCACAGTCGCCAGGAGCGAGTTCAGTATCTTGCTCATGGACACTTTGGAATGCAGACTGGATGCGCCGGGGATTGAACCATGCAGCGATCTTCGGATTAGTGGATGACCCATTCTAACTCCGGAGCATCAGTGGTCAGTTTAGGGCCATAAATTCAAACACTATTATAACAAAATACACTGAATATTTTGTTTTTATTCCGTCAGTCCTCAATACACATAAGAGTCTAGATATGGATGTAACCGTGAGACAGTTTGTTGGTATTTTTTTACTTTTGAACTCAAATTCATAAATAACATATTTTAAACATATTATAGTTCGACTTGGAAGTTACAACAGCATTGCCAACATGTATTTCATTTACCAATTTATGACTTTGATGAACAGATAGAAACAGGTTGAATCAAAGGGGAGCTGGACTCAGATAGAGAGCTTTCACATTCAATTTTCCTCTGTGATGAGTGAACCAGATCTGACTCATCCCAATATGTAAATGCGACGGTGATGTTGAAATAAAATATAACTGTCACTGATGATGGTTTAGCACCGGCGGTCAGATGCTGGTCATAACTTTCAGCGAGCGGACAGGGAGGCGTTCGTCTGATATGTGGAGTCTACTGGCTGACGGCTGTGTCACCGTGGCACAGAATGGGCGACGGGCCTCAGTTCAGCACCAGCCAGGCCCATCTGCTTGTCACCTGGCCTTGGCACGCAGGAGACTGGGTAATGACAGGGAAAGAATGGCATCAGTGGGCAGAAGCTGAGAGGTAATTACTGACTGGAATCCATGCAGAAACGACACATCTGGAACCATGAGTCAAAACGGGGTGAATTATACACCGATACCGGCCTCCGTTCGCGATTCTTATCCGTCAGAACCGTGGAGCTGCGAATCAGCCCGGAGGCTAAAAATCCTTGACTTCCTCTCGCTCGCTCTGATCCTGATGTTCTCTTCTCAGAGGCACAGGGAGACAGTTCAGCTGTGCTTCAGGCGGTGAAGAGGCAGAGAAAGAGCAGCGCTGATGCACCAAGACAATCTGCAGGGAAGATCAGTCATTGTAGCTCCATGGTTTCAGCGCTGAGTGATGCTGCCCTGGCTCACGTGTTACCCTTCTCCTCTTCATCCCTGCTCACACACTTCCTCTTAAAACCCAATTACCGCTGATAAATCCTGCCTCTCTCAAAGTTAGACAGAAATGATCTCCTTGAAAGTGATGTTTTCTTGGCAGATTTCAGGGCCAAAGTTTACACAGGTGACCACTGTGAGAGTTTACATTGTGAAATGACCCATAATGACTGACTAACAGACGTCTGCATTGCCGTGTAATTAACATTTAGATCCCCCCCTTCAAAATAACTCGTCCCATTAAAAGGGCCATTCTCTACTATGAGAAATAGACTGACCAGAGGAGTTAATGAAATGCTGGCGATGGTCCGCAGGCGTCAGCCCTCACCAAATGACCCTCCTTCAAGCTCCAGACAGGGTGTCTCCGTCCACGAGCCTGAGGGAACGGAGACGTGGGCCACATTCTGACTGAGTCTCTCCGTCCTGCATCGATGATCACTTTCACAAACCCCATCTGCCCTGAAAGAAGGAAGTCGCAACTGTGTGGAGTCTCACATCTATCCTTCTCTCCCTCTCGCTCCCTCAAATTAAGATTTCAGTAATTAAATTGATAAAAGTCATGCATGCCAGTATGCCTCATGGTTCCAGACCTGATTACATACGCTGCACAGTCGTGGAGAGCTGCAGAAGTTCTACCTTTGATGTGCCATTCTTTATTATTGAAAATAATTGGATTCTCCCTCCCACCCTCTCTCCCTCTCACGTACACACATTTTGCCCATGTTCACTCTGGGCATGCTCAGTTAATTGACCTCCTGTGAGGTAGAGCTGGTGCAGAGTCCTCGCTCCCTCCATCTGGGGGCTACCAGGCAGCTTGTCCATTGAGCGGGGACCAGGATGTGTCTGAAAAAACGGATTTGAAGCGGCCCAGGCACTGTGCTGAGGGACGTCACTTCAACATGGGGTCAGGGGTCATTCTGCAGGTTGGAGTGGTGCCTGCTAGTGAGTAGGAGCGCGGAGGCTTGTGGGAGCAGTGGCAAAGCCTACTGGGGCTCCGTTGCTCTACAACCATATCAGCTTGGCCGAGCATAAGAAAAAAGCCTGGCCCACAGGCAGCTGGCTTCTCTCCACACTCAGCGGAACGACTGATAATCAGCAGAAAGAGACCCCTGATGATTACTCTGCCTAAGACGGCTGCTAACTGCTCGCCTGCTCACTCCTCAGAATGTCAAACCAGTGCTCACATTTGGAACCCCCCCCGAATGTGCCATAGAAACGCTTATAAAGTCCATCAATTCCAGCTCTCTTTGTTTCAGGGGTAAATGTGAATTTAATTGCCACCGCAACAGAAAGAGAGAATTGATTTCCCTCTGTATATCACCCTCTATCACTTGTGGACAGACATTACATGTGAAGTCTCTTCCAGAACACAAGTGGTTTAGTGGCGTCTTTGCCTCGTGGGCCTGTACGCTGCGCTGCGGCTGACACGCACCCCAGAACAGCCCTATTTTAGGAGTTTTCTTTGCGGCAGAAGCATAATGGTCTTAAGCAGCCCCCCCCCCCCCTCCCCAACAAAGGGACTGCCAGAGTGAATAATGCGTTTGACGCCCAACTGATGAGTCATCAAAGAAACAGAACATCAGCCATCTCACTTTTACTGACAGCACTTAGCTCAGCACACACTCTACACAGCACAGGTCAACTCTGCTCAGGCTGCTCCCTGACAAGTTCATATACATTTCAAGTGACCAAATATAAAGCGTATTAGAATGAATGCGTCACTATAGCATGACTGCATAAAAAAATTGATTATTATATGTCATTTGTGGTTATTAAAAATCCTAAAATCATTTATTTTTATTTTTCCTTTGTATAAGAGTGGGTACTTCTATTTCTTAAAGTGATAAGTATTCTAAACACAGATTTAGGTAGATCTCAATACAATGAACTAATTTGTTTATATTGATTGGTATTGACTTTTGATGGGCTAGAATTGTGGATTTGATTCACACCACCTAAACGAATATCAGTGTTTCTGAAATAAATATTTAGCATTGTGGTAATAATATATGTTACATCCAAAGCATTTTAAAACGCAGTATTAAATATCAGAGGTATCATTAAAACCTGTTTGAAGCCTTTGTTGATGTACAGTCTGTTAATTTTCATGGCTTTCAGACTGTGGCTTGTTAAATAGGCTGTTGGAGGTTGTACAGTCCAGTGCCGACCATTGTCCCAGGTGTATTATTATACATTTAGACTATAAACTAGCAATTACTTCGGCTTATGCAGTAATTATTTAGAGAAGGTATTGTTATTCAGAATAGAGGAGTATCTCTGTTGAAGTCGGTCGACAGTAGCTGTTGCCAACACTGAAGTACATAGCACAACTTATTAACTCTTCTAAGCACATAAGCCTTTTCTGTATTCTGTAGCTTAAGTGGGCTCAGCCGTGGTCGCTTCCTATCATCGAGGCTCACCTCATTGTGACTCTGGCTCCTTTCTTTGGTGCAATTCACAAAGAATATAGGAAAAAAATTAAAGCTCATTCTTTGTGTCTTTCTGTGCAGGTATATCCAAGGTGCATCTTCTCCAAAGGACATGGTCATCATTGTGGATGTGTGAGTGTCTCACCGCCTCCTCTCTTCCTACATTTCCCCCTTTGGCTAGAGTGAGAGTGTGTGTCTCCTTCAAAGGGCACTAGTGCCACCTGTTGGTCTGAGGAAAGCCTGAAGTCAGAGGGAAGATGAATGCTCGTCATCTGCCTGCACTGCTCTATAGAACGCTTTATAAAGAGGACATGAACAGAAACATATGTTTTCCAATAGGAAGCTCCTAAGATTCCGCCTGTTCTTTATTGCTTCTTTTCTGCAGGAGCGGAAGTGTCAGCGGACTCACTCTGAAGCTCATGAAAACCTCTGTCATAGAGATGCTGGACACCCTATCAGATGACGACTATGTGAATGTGGCCAGGGTGAGTGCAAGTTCAGTTCATGGAATTAATCGTACGGATCACTCCTGTAAAAACAACGATAGCGCAAATATTTGTTGTATTTATTAACCAGGTGGTAATCAATCAGGGAGTTCGCAAATGGCACAATGTGCTCGTACTGCTGCTCCCAGTTGATTGCCTGTGGTAGGAACATTGCACTTCCCTCATTACAGTGTATTTGCTCTCCCTGCATCACCGATGTCCATGTGGGATTTTGCCTGCCTGTCTCTTTCACTCTCTGCTGATTACTAAGCTTTCTATTAGGACTGATGTTTAGGGGAATATTAACGTTATCCTACATTGCAGGACAGATAACGCACACACACACACATCCCCTAGCTTGGTGCGGTGGCTCTGTTCGGAGACTTCCTTTGGTAATCCTTCATAATCCATTGCTCTTAGCCACTGTATGCCTTTAAATCCCAGCTCTAAGAGCAATAAATGAGCACAGTAATCTGGGTGGGAACGCATCTGATTTTCACCCCATAAAGAACAGCTCACTGTGAAATGTTTGCAAACACTAAAGCTAATAATAGGCAAAAAATTAGATGAAAATAATCATCAGACACCATCTCTTAAAATACACTTCTTTAAGACAAAACTGTGGCCTCACTGCTGTAATGGCACTATACTTAGTTGTAATGATAGTCTATTTATTATAGATAATTAGTTTTATTTTATTTTATTTACCAGATCTTGTTTCATAACTACTGTATATCTCAACCTTTTATGATACAAGAGATCAGAATAAGATTTTTTTGGCCAAGTACGTTCGTTGGCAGTTGATGACTCACGTAACAGGTGACACTATTAAAGGAGACATATTTCGTTGCGACAACATTTGCAAAATGCCCACCAAGTGGCCATAGTCTCACACACCCCACAAAGTTAAGTAAAGCGAGAGGGCAGGCTGACATTTCTTACATGTGCCGGAAGCAGTTGACCAATAACAACAGAGAGGGCTTGCTGGCCAATCAGAGCACACTGGGCTTTATCGGGAGAGGATTCTTAAAGAGACATGTGCTAAAACTAAGCGTTTCAGACGGAAGCTGAAGAGAGGAGCTGCAATGGACAGTATGAGGAGAAGAATAGAAATAGGAACCTAAATATGACTATGATATGTGTACTTTGAGATACATTCAGTAATTTAACTAGTAACAAAACAGTATAAAAGGCAAGCACTATAAATTTAGTGCTTGTGTGTGATTGGGAATGAAATTGTGTTATATTTGTATAAAACAGTATTTGTAGGTGTTGTGAAGCAGGCAGCAACAACTCTCTGAAGAGGCAGAGACGATGGTAATTGATAAAAGATGGTGATGACTGAAAGAAAGAAACTGCTCCTGTGTCTGTTAATTTCAGAGAAGAGGAGTTGAAAAACACTGCGTCCAGGCTGTGAGAAATCTAATGATTGAAGAGCTGTGATAGCAACAGAGTGATGATTAATGAAAATGTGGCTCTGAATACTTTTTGTGTCTTGGATATCTTTGTCTGCTAATTTAAAAGTGAGAAATGTCAGCTTTTTTACTCACAAAGCGTTTTTACATCAATCCGGCCTGAAAATGTCAGTAGATTTTGAAGGTGACCTTCAGGAAGAAATAACATTTGAAACCTGCTATTACAGACACTGCTGCTAATATTGTAATCACACATAGGCACTACACACATAAGAGAATACACACACACATGCACACACACGCACACAAGTGCACACACACTTTTAGGCTAATTGGGTGGATGAGATGAGACAGATGATATTACCTTGGCAGGGTTTCTATTCAGTGGTTTGCTCGTGGTATTTCAGGTGCACCTGGTCTTTGTGTGGAAAGTTGTAATTACCAGTGTTTACTGTCATCCAGAGAGTAGCAGCGCAGTTTACATCTGCACACACCCACGCCTGCATCATGTCACCATGAACCATGCACACATGTGATCAAGAAAACACAGAAACACACAATCTGACAATTATGCTCACATGTCTTTTTATTTCCCCTCCGTAGTTCAATGAGAAGGCCGACGCTGTTGTCCCTTGCTTCAGGACTTTGGTTCAGGCCAACGTTCGTAACAAGAAGATCTTCAAGGAGGCCGTCATGCACATGCAGGCCAAAGGAACCACAGATTACAAGTCTGGCTTCACGTTCGCCTTTGAACAGCTTCTCAATGTAAGAGCCAACAAGCCTCTCAGGGTTGGTCTGTGGCTGACAAATTGTGCACTTCCAGAAAGTCAAAGATAACCCGCTGAAGCTATAGTGTAGCTCCAGTACATCCTGCCACAGTAACTGTCTCATCCAATTATCAAAGCAGAATTTACAGTGATAAAACAGTGCTGACAGTGAGGGGCTCAGGTTTGTAGAAGACACTTCCAGAGCTCTGTCATTGTCGCAGATTGGTGTGATTGTAACTGCTGTTGCGGTGAAGCGGCACTAGCGTCTGCAGTAGCCAGCACAGTGGTGAAGTCTGTCAGCAGCAGGCGTCCACGTGCTCGCAACACAGGTGCTGCCTCAGCTCCGTATGCTGCTGTGTATTTTAGGAGGCTGCCACCCTAATGGGCTCTGATGGGATGATTGATGAGCGCAGCCGAGAGGAGATCAGCCACAGACACTTTATATTCCTCTGCTGGGGTTGGAGGCAGAGAGCCAAGTGCTGGCTGCATGCAGCCCCCCTCCCCTTCTCTTTGCCAGCAGAATGAGAAATAAAAAGGGCCATTTAATCGCTGTCCGCTGGCAGACTCACTCCCGTGATTGGTGGCAGAAGCACAATAAAAATATGTAATTGTAGCAATATTATTTATCTTTATTAGAATCTTGTCAGATTGACATGCCGCTGGCCTGCATATCAATGGCAGCTGCGGTGCAGACAGGCGGGGGTGCGGGTATCAAAGCTGAATGCTAAAAGCTGGTGCCTGGCTGCGTGCATTTAGTGCTGACATGCTGGTGAAAGTGCTCCTGTCACAATCAAATTTAACACTACAATAATGTTGCTCTGTGTACTTCAAATGAAATTCTAAAATCATAATGATAATGGTAAAATTACAATATGAGCAGGCACATGACTACCAAGAGGGAAATATGTAATTGAATAGTCAGTAAAAGCTAAGAGTGGATTTGATCCCCGACACCAAAATGTAACAGCCACTAAGGTTCATAACTATATATCTACACATATGTATAACTAAGTAAAGCCCGACCGATTTATCAGTTATTTTACATATAGAAAAATACAGAAAATGTCTATATATTACACTTCTTTATTATAAGGGTTTTATAATTATTATTTTATATATATATATATATACAGATTCTCAGGCTTCCTCACACAGTCCACAGACATGTTGCTCAGGTGAACTGTAGAATCTAAAGTGCTGTGATGGACTGGCGACCTGTCCAGGGTGTACCCCACCTTTAGACCAATGTCAGCTTGGATTGGCTGCAGCTCATCCAGCAACCATCAAATGATAAGCAGTGTAGACAACAGACAGATGGATGGACCAAAATTACGTGTTACAAGACAGTGTAATAATACTGTCTTTGTAATATTTTATGTTGTGTAAACCTTCTCTTTTATTCTTAGTGTAGTGCCACACCACCCTCTCATACTTGCATCCTCTCTCACCTGTCTCTCTTCTTCTCTCCCTCTCCCTCCTCTCTATCCGTGTGCCACAGGAGAGCAGCGCCCCGAGGGCCAACTGCAATAAGATGATAATGATGTTTACAGATGGCGGGGAGGATCGTGCACAGGAAATCTTTGAGAAGTACAACTGGCCCAACAAAACGGTGAGTCTGTCCCCACAAGGCTGTTATCTATTTTTCTTCTACTTCTTGCTCTGCCAGCCCAAGAGATCGTGCATGTCCAGAGACTGTGTTCGCACGGCCCGCCTCCCCACCCCACGTCTCCCACTCCGTCTCCAGCTGACATTGTCTCATTATAGCACAGGCAGTTGTGTGAGTTAGGCTGTCAGACATGCCAAGCTCCCCAATCTGTGCATCTGAGCACCCTCTCCAAGCTTTCTTCACTTCCATTTTGGCTCCTCTGATTCAGGCTTTTCCATCTCTCTACTCTTCAACTCTCTCACTCTCTCTCTCTCTTCTTCTCTCTCTCTCTCTCTTCCTTTGTCTCCTCTGTTGTTTAGCTGATGGTGTTAACAGCTCTGACCTGCTGACTAATTAGCCACTTTATCATCAGAGCCTCTAAAATTACAGCCAACAGATACTGAGTTTGTATTCTTTTTGTTCCTGTCTTGTCCCCCCCCTCCCAGCACCACCAGTATTTATTCTGATGTCTGTTTACCATCGATCTCCCTCGAGACGGCTGCTGTCATATAGGAATTATCTGCAGTTTGACAACTCTCTCACTGCAGTGTTGAGATGGAGGCAGTTGTGTGACTTGATATAGTCAAAATGTTGTGTTAAATTATTGTCATCCAGAGGAACTTTGGTTTTTGGCGCTGTTTTGATATCATCTGTACTATTGTCCCATTTCTTCCAATAATGCATCTCATCTGTTTCTCCATCCAGGTTCGTGTGTTCACCTTCTCGGTTGGCCAACATAATTATGATGTCACACCTTTACAGTGGATCGCATGTGCCAATAAAGGTGAGAGAATAAAATGTTTCTGGTAAAGCACCTTTGTATGAAAAATATTTAAAAGACATTTTATACATGTATATTTTCTTTTTTAAATTCATCCTTGTATTGTGTTTTTCATTGTCGATGTAAACGATGAAAACAATGTTACAGTGGAAGCTCTATCTCTGCGAGCCTTACATAAGAATCAGTTGCAGCAAAAAAAAATTAATATAATACAAAGTAAAGCACATATGAGGATCAATAAAATAGATGCAATTGATAGATCCTTTTTTCCATCATACTTAATATACCTCCACCAAGGCCCAACAGTCCCCATAGATAAATCTAGCTCCACCAAACTTCACACATTCATAGATATCAGTCTCTTAAATGTGAAAATCTTTTTTCATCAGATCCTTAAATTCTTCTCTAGAAATTTGGGGAAAATGTCAAAAAAAAAAAAATCTATATCACAATGTAAAAATACAGATCTGCCTCAAAACTGGGTTCTTTCTTGGTCCATGTCCCATCCAGGTTTTGTTGAAGTCCATTCAGTAGTTTTCACGTAAACAAAAATCAAAATGGATAGTTTTGAAAACATTGGTTTTCTTGGTGGAGATAATAACAAAATACATAAACCTGCCATTATAAACCCATCATCACTAAGATGTATTCACATATCTGTCTTTGTGCACATGATGGCCACTACAGTCCCAAAAATAACCCAACAAGCAGCTCGCCTGCCTCTGACCGACAGCCTGACAACTCATATGACTGAACACTGTCTGCATGAATCTCTCTCCCTCTTGACTCAGCCAGTTTTAGCCCGACCTCAGTCAGACTGTTGTTGCTGTTGTGCTCAGATTTGAACTCCGCTGCTTTTTAATTCATAACCCACTTCTCTTCCTCCTCTTTCTTTCTTTTGTGGTTTGATTTAATATTGTTTCAGTGTTACAGTTTATCCGAAGCGGTTCCTTTACGAGGCCTTTAGCTGTCTGTGTGAAGCCTTGGCCAAACCGCTGCTGCTGATTAGCTTATTGCCACTGGAGCCAAGTGCTTCAGAAGTATCTCCCCAGAAGTTGTTATTAATTAGCAGGAGGAGTCTGGTAGCCGGATGATTACCGTGCCATCTCTCCGTCAGGCTGGGGAAAGTCCAGGATTACGCCTCTGTGCCAACTTGCTCTCCACTGTACGCGACTGTAGTGATTACCAGGGTACTAAAGACTATGCCAGTATAAGACAATGGTGTTGACACAACAGCCTCAATGGAGCTGTCCTCTCATATCTTCAGTACTTATTACTCTTTGGTATCTCACTCCAACAGAGCTAGCTCCCTGACACTTCAACAGGCCCTAACCCTTCACCCATGACATACATATTTGACAAAACGCAGAAGTACACACAAATACACACACACAGACGCACTAGGCCACTCTGAGATGCTAGCTGTTGTCTCTCTCGAGCTGCAAGCCTGCATTAAGAAGAAAGTAACCTCTCTTTGACTCTGAGGACAATGAAGCTATTTATCCATGCTCTGAAACGGTGTAACAAAATCCAAAACAGAGAGAAGCGTAATCTTTCTAAAAAGAAAAAAGAAAAACTGGTGAAATGAAGGATAAAAGCAGCAAATATGATCTACTGCACTGGTGATTCTAATTCTTCCACAAAAGTGGCGCCTTTAATCCATAGCTGGAGGACAAAAAACATATTGCATAAATTCAAGATGGCCTGCTGCAATAGAAGTAAAATCCTCAGTTACACCATGAAATGAGTTAACCAAGTTTATTAGCTAAAGTCGTTTATTTATTGTGAATATGGGATGACAGGAGCGCATGCTAGTCTATGTACAAAGAAAAGGCATACTCATACTAAACACTGCATGATTATAATACACTTAACAACTATATATGAGAATTATTTATGCAGAAAAATCTCCTCAACCCAGTTTAAATCATATACATAATCAACATATCTTATTATATACAGTATATCTTATAGTCTAGTTATTTGGAAGACACCATCCATCCATTCATTATCTCTTACGCTTATCCTTTCAACCTCCACCAATATTATTGACCATTGTCAATGCTTGATCATTCACACACTGTACATATAACATAAGTATGCACACAGACAAACAGGACTTGAAATTGTGTTGATCCTAAATTACCAAATTAGCTTTTTATTACTAAAATGGTACAAGTAATTTATCTTGCTTTACCCACAGTCATAAAAAACATAAAAGTAGATTATATAGAAATGCCCTTTTTATTAAAGATCCAATGGCTAAACTTGAAGATAGTGCTTTGGTTGTTACAGCTATAATGAATCCAGAATGACATAAACGCTGCGTTCAGTCAAAGCAGGGAACTGGTGGAGACATTTGAATAATTGTGGCTGAAAGCAGATGTGAGGAGGAGTCAGGCTTTTATGTTAAGTGCACGACCAAAGTGCTTCAATCAATCCACGGCCTTAGAAAACAATTTTAATGATGATGTAACCCAGGATATTTTCTGTACTTTAGTACAAGTTATGGATGTTCCTTAAATGCATCGCCTGGAGCCATTTGTAGTTACGTAGTTTCATAAAGTCCCTTAAACTCACCTGCAAACTAAGCGGCTGCACAGAGTAACACAGCTACTGCAGAGCCGGTGGCTAAAAGGTTCACTACACTCACTGAGACATGATATGAGGAGGGTCCGGCTCTGACATCAACCATTCACACTCATGTTCACACCCACGGACAATTCAGAGTTTCTAATTAAACTAATCTGCATTTGTCAAAACAGACTCATGTGACACAAATCTGAGGATGACATTTGAGGAAAACTGACTTCTAACACTGCCTGAGCTTTATGTAAATGAGTTTCACACAGAAAATAGGGTATTGATTAAAATCATAATTGCTCGTCTCGCAGCAGATCTGTGTCGCTGCACAGACGAGATCCACATTTCATCCTTACGCTTTAGTTACTGCCCACACTCTCCTCTCTCGCTGAGCTCTGTCCTACAATCATGCATGCCACCTCTGTATGGCACACAGCCAACAGCACTGTGACAAACTGCTGCTCCGAGGAGATCTATAACAAATAGCTGCACCCCGTGACTGCGTGTGTGTGTGTCTGTCTATCTGTGTATGTGTGTGTGTGTGTGTGTGTGTGTGTGTGTGTGTGTGCGTGTGTGCGTGTGTGTGTTACGTCCGCGTGCTCGCATGTGCAAATGACGAAGACAGAGCAGGCAAATCTCGACGCAGACCGCTGTGGCAAAGTGCATAATGTATCAAAATAATGAAAGCCATCTTTGCCTTTTAACATTCTGGGGATGCTGTCTCCATTTCACAGCTCTTTGTATAAACACTCATGGCTTTAATAACATGGGGAACGTGGTTATTGACCCAGTCGGTCACTCTCCTCCATTCGTAATCAGCAGCGGCAGCGCCTGGGGCACCACATTCCCAAGGAGCCTCCACATTTTCATCCTGCAGCTCCACCACGCGTGTGGAGAGGTCAATGGCCACAGGCTCCATCGTGCCTGTGTGGCTCTGCATCATCAGCCGGAAATGATGGCGCTACATGTATCTAATAACAGTGGAGAGATTAGACTGCAATCTGCAAATGGATCACTGTTGCATTCGGTGTGATTGTTAAACTCTTGAAAATGTAAATCTTCGGGATGGAACATGGGACACGAACTTTCTGTTGGGAAGAGTATTGATCCTCTTTTTCTTTTTTTCAGGTTACTACTTTGAAATTCCATCGATTGGAGCCATCCGCATCAACACCCAGGTAAGATGTGCAGTGTGAACGCACCTTTATGAATCCACAAAAGCATCAGTTTCAAACAAGAATCTATTCTTCCTTCATGGCTGCTTTTGATGATAATTACTCAGATGGTAGATATCTTTAAGTGCAACACAACAAAGGCACAGAGGGAGGCGCAGCTGTGTGACTAAAGACAGGAGGTGACCGAGGTGGAGATCCGGTGATAACAGACGTGGTTGTGGTCTTTTCTATAAGAAATGTTTTTTGGAAGCTTTCAGATCTCCTTCTCTCATCGTCCATCAGAGACACACACACACCTCTGGTTCGTCACACACCCAGGGCCCTTCCACACACACACACACACACTTGCTGGAGGCACCATGAGCTTTCGAGAGGCCCTTGGGATAACCTCATTCCAGCTGTAGAAATTGACTCAGTTGCTGGAAGGTGGCGGTGGTGGGAGGGGGAGGGGTTACTGCACCCCCAGTGAGCGATCAGGGCCCAGAATAGACTGTCAGCTGTTCCATTAACTCTGGCATATTTATATTCTAAGAACTGCCACTTTACTCTAATAGGTTTTCTGAAGGTGGGTGACTGCAGCACCTCAGTGTGCGGGTGAGTGTGTGCGTGCATGCGTCTGTGTGTTTGTGTGTGTGTGTGTGTGTGTGTGTGTGTGAGTGAGTGTGTGTATGTGTGTGTGTGTGTGTGTGTGTGTGTGTGTGTGTGTGTGTGTGTGAGTGAGTGTGCATGCACGTGTGTAGGCACAGAAGACACGTGGTGGGCCTTATTTTATTTAACCGTGCTCGGCCCTTCAGCCTCGCACACTCATCACACAGTCTCACTTGACTAAGATGACAACATTCAAATAATGGATGGACTACAGATGGCAGGAAAATGTTATTATTCATGTTGTCCTGAGTCATACAGTTATGTGGAAAGAATGGAATGGCTTTCAAACTATAAGTGGTAATATATATTTTGTGTTTTCTTGTGTTTGCCTGTGACTGATTTATTATTTTTTTGTTGGGACTTATTTCATCCATACTGGATTCTCTATAATTCATCTCAGTGAAGCCACAATAACCAGGCCAGGCATTTGTTAGGATATTTTGTATTAACAGAGAATGTACTGATGAGTTTACTCTCTCTGGTTGTGTCTGTTACACTTCCCCGGGAGACAGTAGCGTTTAATCAACACGCAGGGATGCTGCCGGGGTCTGTGCGGCTCCGGCTCCTCTGGACCACACATCTGCAGTTGCTGACTTTTTATGTTTCCTAGATTGTTCTAGCCAGGCGGAAAATTTTCCCCTATATCCCGTGAAAAGGTCTAGCTGTCATTGTCCTGATGGAATATCTCCCTGTGGCGCGTTAAACCGGACTTTTATTGAGCTAATAATAGAATAGGTTACGCCTGTCAGCACCTTACTGTTCAGGCGATGAAAAACAAACGCTCAAAAGCATAATACTGAAATCGCTGTGCGCTCGTACAGGGGTGCCCCCTTTTGTGTATTGAGGGTAGACACACAAAGGGAGGAGGCAAGGGTCAGAAATGTCCGATGACATTTTCCCTTTTCACTGCAAAATGGATGTCGTCATCTAAGAACAGCAATTTTTTTTTTAATTAACCTATAACCACGGGAGAGCTTCTGTTTTTTCGCTGACCTGATCTGAATATATTTTGTATGATACATAAATATAGACATTTGGCTTTGACTAGGATACAGAGGAGAAGGAGGAGTTTTCTAGCTTTTGTAAAATGTTTGCAGAAAAAAACCCAATCAATTTGATTTGAGAGCATTTTTTCTGTTTGTGGTCGTTACAACAACAAAATGCTGAAAACCAAGTGTTTCCTCCAAATTATTTGTTTTGGTCGCCTCATATGTCACGAGGTCACTCACACAAGAATTTGACCAATCACACATCATCTTCTAAATGTTGGATCAATATCTGATCAATAGTTTGTTCACAAAACAAAACATCTTAAATGTCATATGAGGAACAAATGAATGTAGTGAATGTGATGTATGACTAGTTGACTTAACCTCTGACCTCTATTCACAATCGCTGCGGGACATTCCCACTGTGCCAGCACTGACACTGGAGCCTCTGGGAGAGTGGCCTGTTTGCACGTCAGGCCATTGTCACCCTTAATGTGTTTTTAATAGCTCCTTGATAATGATGAAAAACTGCCCTGAGTGGCTCAGGACCGAAGGCTTTATGGCTCGTCAGGGCCGGGACGCTGCTGCAGGACCACTGGTTTATGTGGTGACAGAGAGGAGGCCAGTCAGGGTCTTATAGTTTTATGACACATGAACACCGAGTGGCTTTTCCAGCTCTCTGCTTTTACTGCCTGTACATAACAAGCACTGTAAACGTCTTTGTTTTTATTGAGTGTCATCATACCTATGTTTGTGTGTGTGTGTGTGTGTGTGTGTGTGTGTGTGTGTGTGTGTGTGTGTGTGCGTGTGCGTGTGCGTGTTTGCTGCGGCAGGAGTACCTGGACGTCCTGGGCCGTCCTATGGTGCTTGCTGGAACCAAAGCCAAGCAGGTGCAGTGGACAAACGTCTACCAGGACGCTCTGGTGAGAGAGAATTATACAAATAAAACATTTTGCTTTATTTGATCACATTGTACCTTTAAATGAATGGATGCAGGATTCACCAAATGTTTCATCCTTTTCTCCTTCTGCTTCTTAGCAGAGGGAGCAAATGCGGCACATGAACTTGTTATAACCTTTTTGAATCTACGTGGTATTTTTTGGTTAGCAGGATCATGCAACAACTACCAGACAGATTACCACAAAACTTGGTGGAAGGATTTGGAATAGGTCACGAAAGAACCTATGAATTTTAGTGCAGGTCATGGGACAGATCTAGGAATTTGTTTTTTTCACTTTTTCAACATTTTTGTTGATTTTTCAGAGAATAATTAATGGATCATGATAAAAACAAATCAGGCATGATTTTGAATTTGTGTAATTTGGTATGTTTGGAATTTAAATGTGGTTTCATAAGGAGACTGTTGAGCCTTGGCGGAGGTTTGCGCTCTACGAGTCCGCTTCTAGTTTTTTACTTGGATGAAATTTCAGTTTATTTATTTACATCTTTATGTGTTTGTCCATTAAATGTTTTTATGCAATATTTTTATCAGGGTTTGGGCCTCGTCATCACTGGAACCATGCCAGTATTCAACCTCACTGCTGATACCGTCAGCTCTCAGGTAAAAACAATATGACACACACCAGCTCATGCTTTGTATTAATCTTTAGTCTTCACCTTTATTTTTACCATGTGAGTTTTCATTCAGCTGGTTGTCTACACATGTAAAGCTGTTCAGAAACAGGCATCGGAGTAGCTGGAGTGTTAAGGTTCAATTGTGTGTTTTTTGGCGTCATTGACCATCATCAGTCATTTGCAATGACGTCCACCCAGACGCAGCTCCTCTAGGCAACACCTCCCCCCTGAGGTGACAGCCGACATCGCAACCCCCCCCCCATCTGTAGTATCCTCTGTCGTGCTGAGAGCACACACGCATCCAGCTTCCAGTACCCATGACCAAAGTGTTTACTCTAAGCTTATCACGCAGGCTTAAAGCAGTGACGCAGCTGCAAACACACCCGCTGTAAGATGGACTGTAAAAAATCTCGACTAATCAGATGGCACACAAAGTGACGATAAATCAAAGATGACTCGGAGATGTTCTTAGCGGTCTCACAGCGCAGCCTCCAGCTCTGTGGGATTCTCGAGGATAAAATGCTTTATGTGCTCGTCACACAGAACCAGCTCATCCTGGGAGTTATGGGAGTAGATATCGCCATCAACGAAATCAAGAAGAAGACTCCTACATACAGAGTGAGCATCCCGTGCACGCAGTATCACACTCATATCGATGATTTATTGATATGTAAACATTTTCACTTATCTTATTTTTCTTTGCAGCTTGGAGCCAACGGTTACACCTTTGCCATCGACCCAAATGGTTATGTGCTGCTGCATCCCAACCTGCGACCTAAGGTTGGTCCAACTGTTGACCCCGCCCTGCATCCAGGACTCTTCTCTCCTCTGAAGTTATTCCTCCTGACCAATGTTAAACTCCCCCTCCATCCATCTTCCCATGCTTTCTCTCTCTCTCTCTCTCTCACTCTCTCTCTCTCTGCTCAGATCATTAACTTTAGGGAGCCCGTCACTCTGGACTTTCTGGACGCAGAGCTGGAAGACAGCAACAAGGAGGAGGTGAAATAATACCTTTGAAAAATCGTCACAAGGAGAAACTGATTAAATATTTATATTTGTCACCTGTTTCTCATTTTCTATGTAATGGTATGTATGAACTCCTTTTTCTCACTCTCTCTCTCTCTCGCTCACGTTTCAGATCCGCCGACAGATGATTGATGGCAAATCAGGGCAAAGGAAAATCAAGACGCTCATTAAGTCAGTTGATGAGGCAAGTCATCAATACGAGACTCAATCACATTCCTGAGTCGAGCCTTCCTGAATGATTCATGAATCTGAATCACTCCGCACGTTCAGGATGTGTTGGGCACATCCGATGAAGGGAGGTCACATGTGCTGAGGATGTGACGGTGTTGTTTGTCTCTTTGACCGACAGAGGTACATCGACGAGGCTATGCGGACGTACACGTGGACGCCTGTGGAGGGCACAGATTACAGGTAGGTTTCAAATCAAACGTCACCACCTGACCTCAGACCAAACGCTCGTGCAACTTGAGCCTGTGAGTGAAGTACAACTTTTATTTTTTAATCACCAGTCTCACATCACTCAACCAGCAGCGTCTGACTGTTGCCGTCACTATCACACCAACACTTGGAATAGACGTAACCTATCACAGAATAAATGCGACTTGCTCATTTGCCTCTTGTATTTGCATGAAACAATTCATCTAAATAGCCCAAGTTAATGCATCGCTTATCTTTCCTCTCCCATAAAAATTCTCAACAATCCTCCGAGCACAAATTAACTGCAAAGTTTATTCACCTCAAACCTGGTTGAACATATGAGTTGGCATCGTAATGAAATTTCCTCCAGGCAGCGCTTGGCAAATTATAGTTTATGATATTCGATAGTCCTACAAAATACATTTTTGTATCTGCTGACAGCGTGCCGGGTCCTGGCTGAATTCATATGAGACATTCTCTGCAAAATTCTATTAGTATTAAACTCAACGGGAAATTCGGGTATTTAAGAATTATACTGTTTATGAAAGACTTTCAAAGCTCTGCACTCTTATGTAACCTGTGAATTGGATTTTGCTATTCAAATTAGTGACATTAGATGTTTCTTTAAATGTAAATCATCATTATATTATAGCTGAGTCTCAACTTGAAAACTTCCGATGAATAGCTGCAGATTCAGAGATGTGACATGTATTTCCACATTTCTTTTTAACTTCAGGTTTTGATAGTAGACTGAATACAGTATATAGTAACATAATGCATATGTGGATCATGATGATATGTTACAAAGCAAATCTGACGCGGAGGATCTCCGGCTGCGTTCTCGCAATCGACGAGTGGCCTGGCCGGACAAAGTCTGCAGAAAGCCCAGAGATTCAGTGCATGTCTGAAAGCAGCTGTACAGTCTATGCTCCAGATGCAGCTGCTTCACTCAGAAACACACAGCAGCCGTCTCGTCTTCTGCAGGGGGGGTCAGAGGATCTTAAAGATGTGCATCTTCATATTCTGACTGTGTGATCCGGGCCCCTGGTGACTTAAGTTTCCATGTTCATTGAAAATCTGTCTCTGATTTCCCGCGTCTGCCTCATCACCTCAGTCTAGGTTTGGTACTGCCCACGTACAGTGAGAACCACATCAAGGCCAACCTGAGTGACCAGATCCTCCAGGTGCAGTGTAAGTACCCGGGAATACCCAGCATCCTTCGCTCCCCGTCTCTCTTTTTATTTGCCGTTTTTCTCTTCTCTCTCTCCTCTCTCTCTCTTCCTCTCTCTCTCTCGAATCTGACCTCGCGTTCTTACTCAGTCCTTTGTCCTGGGTCTACAACATCATCATAGGCAGTGTCTGAACGGAGTCGCCTGCCCAGCTCCCCCTCTCCCTCTCTCTCTCTACGATCTCTGATAGGCAGGGTGCCCCCTTCCCCCCAGACTTCCTCTCTACTGCCCCCTGTCCCCCTCCTGTCTTCATGCTGTGCTGTAAAAATGGTGATGTTTTTTCTTCACACTGGCTGAAGAAAAAAGAACTGAACAGACAGAAAGGTGAAAGCTGTGGTTTTACTGTGTAACTCAGGTGAAAATAATGGTGACCTCTGTGCTATTATTTTTTTTGCCAAATGCTCTCGCCTCTTCTCCACCAAAGTAATGATTCTGAAGCGTCTGTGTTCAAAGTATTTGATGTTCTGGAAACCTGTGAAAACACGCATGCTTTTCACTCCTTATGATGAGTTCTATGATTTTTGGGAGTTTCCCTTCTGTTGTGTGTGATTTTAATTTCTGAATTTATTTCTGTTGGATTGTGTGCGATGTTCCTCAGCTTTGGAATCATTCAGTAGATAAACTCCCACACGGCCCGGGACAAGGGCTCGACAGATGTGGGAGTTTGGGTTTTTTGTGGGTCTGAACGGGGACACGTGTTGTCTCTCATTCTTTCTTTGTCCAGACCCCGTTACTCCCCTCTTTTCTTACTTAATTTGATTTATTTTGAGTTCCACCATGGTTTTCTCTCACAGTTACTGGTTTTTGTCTTCACTATTTTCCTTTCCTGGATTTCCCAGTCTTTTGTTTGTTTTTCCTTTCTTCCATTGATCTTCAGTTTTCTCGTTTGCTCTTGCAAATTAGATGTTTGCTCTTCATTTCTTTTTTCTCTCTTGTCTTGTTTGACTTAAATTTCTTTCTTTCAAGAAAAACAATATTTTTATTCAAACAGTAATTGAATAAAATATTGTCTGTGATCCCCCCTTCCCACCCGATCCCCTGTTTCTTTTCTTGCTCACTCCTTCTCTGATGGATCCACACAGTGCCATACATCATGGGCAAGTATACTCCATATTGGTCCACGTTCCCTACGTTTACTTCCTACTACCCACCGCTGCCTCCTCCTTCCCTCACCTCTCGTCCTGAACCTCCTTCCTGCTGCCCTCCCCTCCCACCCCACCTGTCCCAGCCTTGCTTGCCTCTGTTCCTGCCCGTCTTGCCTTCAGGACCCTCCTCTTTCCTCCCTTTTCCCTCTTTTTTTCTCCCCCTATTCTTCCTTCTTTAATTCCTCCTCCTCTTCCTCTTCACCCTCTTGCTGCAGCTCAGATCCCACATCTCTCACAATGGCTCCTCCAGTCTCCCCAACCTCACCCTCCTCCCCCACGTTACCTGCTGCTCCAGAACAAAACCAAAAAAAACGCCAACAACGACAGATATTCATGTTCTATGTTAAAACGTGTCTTTTGTCCATCCCTCCTGATCCTTTCCTTTCTGTGGACAGCTCCAAATGGGTCGTGTCTGCCTTCTCTTTCCCTCTTTCTTTCACTCGTTCTTTCACCATATTTCTCTCTTTTTCTCACCTCCTTTTTCTCTCTTGCTATCCTCTTTCACTCTTGCCTGTCCCTCTCTTTTTCTTACAGTGTCAATAGGTCATAAATGTATTTGCTAATTCTCGGACTACAGCTCAGGTATTGACAGACAAACTTTTCTTGATAGTGCAAATAGCCAGATCCGTTTTGATCACATTAAGTTCTATATACAGTAATAATTTAATTGTTTGCTGTCACATTTTCTTAGGAAGGAAGTCAGATACACACTCAAATATTATATTTTCACACTTAAGCTTTAATAATAAATCAGCGTATCATGCTTTACGGTAACATAAATCAGGATTTCTTGTAGTCATGAACAATATATTTAATAGTCTCTGTAAATTGTCTAAAAACACACTCACTTTGTGATGATTGTTATGAAGTCTCTCGTCTTTAAGTGGAGGTGTCGCAGACTGACCCTACAGGGCTGAGCTGTGTCCTGCCCAACCAGGTCCCTCCATGTCGTCAGGTGTCAGGGAGCCGCCCGGCGCAGCATCCGGCTCCTGTGTCGTCCCTCTGTACTCCCCATCTCTCCATCAGCTTGTCTCCCTCCCTCCTCACCCCTCAGACCACCAGGGGCACGGTCCAACACTTCCCAATAACCCTGACCCTGGAACGTGCACTGCATTGTGGGCGGAGAACTACCTGGGCACTGAAAGCTTTAAAAGTCAATTTTCTCTCTGCTTACTGGTGGGGAGATAATGAAAAAGAATAACATGCTGGATTCATCGCAGACTCACCTTTTGAGGTTTCAATGGCGGTTGATATTTTGTGTGTTTTGTCTATGATATATGACATGAAGTTGCCCTTCCACATGCCCTTCACAATGCAATGCACTTCCTCTGATTATGCGTCTCTCTGAGCCCTCTACCCCTGCCAGTCTGAGGGGTGACCACCTCCATCAGGACCTTCACCCACCTCCCCCTGCAACTGTTGGCCATGTTGATGCCTGCCTGATCTGAGAGCACTCATAGTGGACAAACTGTCTGAGAACTTGCTTCCTGACACACCAGCTCTGGTAAAGTCAGTTCTCAGACATCCAAAATATGTTAGCTGGAAACCAAACAAATCAGAAACTGTTGACAAAGTGAAAAAAAAAAGAAAAAGAAAAGATGTGAGTGCTTGTGAGAAAAAAATCCATTGAGAGTCAGGTTCTATTTTTAGGCACCATATTGGCTAACGCTAGTGTTCCCATGATACCTCAGTGTTGCTATGGTAAACTCCCTTCTGCGTCCCCGCACCTCTGAAGAACAGCTGCTGTTTACCCACAACTCCCCACTGCTCTGCCCACTGCTTCTCCCAGATAATCTTCCCCCTTTCTGTTGCAGATTTTGAATCACTGCTGCCAAACAGTTTTGAGTCTGAAGGACATGTATTCATTGCTCCCAGGTAGCCCTGTGTGTGTGACCGCTCGCTGTCATTGATGGTCGTCACTTTCTGGTCTTGTCCTCACAATCGACCCTTTGTTTCATTCCGTTTCCACTCCTCATTCAGCATCTTGTATCTATCATCTGTTTTCTTGACTTATGTTTGTTGTGATGTTTAGTTGCTCTGCGTGTAAGTTGTTATATTCATTATTCGTTTATTCATTTTTGAGGGATGTGTTGATTATAGTGACAAAAAATATGAAATTCATCATAGACTTCTGATTTGATTTTAAATTTCCCCACTCTATCCCCTAAGTTATCCCTCATTACAGAGTACTAAAGAATACCCTGCTTTGCATGTTGCCTCTGTTGCTGCGTGTTTGTATGACACACATACATTTAGGGATTATCATGGACAACAAAATGTGTAATGAAATCCTCCTTGCACGTGATGTTATCACAGGGTTTCCGCAGGGTCTAAAACTTAATAATCGGAATTTCAGATCTTAAAAAGTCTTAAATAATAAGAAATATGATATATTAGGTCTTAAATATGATTAGGTAGTTCTCAAATATTTATTTAATGATACTACTGTTCCACTTTCAAATTAGTTTTTTGGCTACTTCACCTTATCTTCAATTATGGGGAAGTGTTAAGTGATTCTGGGACTAATATTCATATCTGTCGCACATGCATTCATTCATTCATTATAGTCTTAAAATCTTTAAATGTTGAATCCTGCAGAAACCATGTATCAAACCCTCGTCTCCTCCAGCATTAACCTGAAGTCTGAAACACACTGATAAAATCACTCGTTCATTGTGCTGCCTGTGCTTTCACTCCACAGCCCAGTCTAAAGTTTTTCAGGTGTTTTAGTCTAAAACATGCATGTTGTAAATGTGCAAAGAATGTGTGGTTTAGTGCCTCCCCACTGTTGTTTCTCTTTATTCTAAATGAGGCAGTGTGGAAATGATGATGATGTATGATTGTCTATTGTCTGTCAGGGAGTACTGCAATGATCTGGAACTGTCCAACAACAACACTGAGTTCCTGCTCAACTTCATTGCTCTCATGGAGAAGGTGACACCGGACTCTAAACAATGTGAGTTCATCTCTCTTCACACACATTAAGTCCATTTTTACATTATTGAATTAGTAAGTTCTGGATCAACTTCACTAGTTGAGGTTTGCAATAATCTTTTTTTTTTTAATTCTTACCAAATCTGTATATATATAAGTATATAAATCTGCAGCCGAAAAATAGTCCCTAATAAATTCCCCATCTGAGTGTTTGAGCAACACTCACTGAAGAGTACATGTTGGAGGAAATAATTTAAAAGGAAAAAGAAACCAAATATTGTGACTCTTATTTCTTAAGAAGGAATGAATGGACTTTGGTGCCAACGACAGGATGTGGAAGTGGAAAATATCTAAATATGTAATTCTGTAGTTTCTAATGTTCTGTTTATATGTAGGTGACAATTTGCTCCTTCATAACCTGATTCTGGACACTGGAATCATCAGGCAGCTGGTAGACAAGGTTTGGAAGAACAAAGACTTGAACACGTGAGTTTCAGATTGTGCTTGGGGACATTTGTCGTCTTCTTTTTGTAACTTCTGTCCAGCACCGAGTGTTTATCAAGGTTGGATGTGTGTGCTTTTATCTACCGTCTGAGGTTTTCAGATTTGGATTGTGGATGAGCTTCAGATTTGAATCCTGTCTCTGTCTCTTCTCTCCACTCTTGAATCTAGCTATGGATTTCTAGCCGTGTTTGCTGCGACCGATGGAGGAGTAACAAGAGTGTTTCCCAACAAGTAAGAGCATCGAGGCTGTGACTGCAGATGCTCTGTGGTTCTGATGCGTCTCTCACTCTCACAGACTTTTGTTCAACAAACATGTAGGGCTGCAGGAAGCTTGTAAATTACACATTAAAGCATCTGTGCTCTTAAATCTCAGGGCTTCAGAATCCTGGGAGGAAGACCCCGAGCCGTTTAATGCCAGCTATTACCGCCGCAGTCTTGACAACAAGGGCTACATCTTCCGAGCGCCCTATCGAACAGGTGAATGATGCTCTTATTCTCAGGTTATATATCTCACACAGAGGCTCTTTGTTTTGAAACACCCCCCTCCTCCCTCTCTGTTTCTGCTTCGCTTCTTCAGCCAGGGACGAGCTGCTGAACCCAGAAAACGACACCATAGGGGTCCTGGTCAGCACAGCTGTGGAGATCGCGATAGGAGGAAAAACCATCAAACCTGCAGGTGAGCTCAGCTCTGAAGGAAAAGACAAAATCCTCTCATTCTGACAGATGTTTTTCTCTTTCTTCATTTTGTGTGACATGTTCATACTCTTTATTTATTGTGCCCGTGTGTGTATTCATCTTTTTATGCCTCTGCACCAGCAACAGCCAGTAGCTTTATATATCCAGGTTGTCTGTCCATCACATTGTTCCCATGTGAACTCGATATTTCAAGAACGTCTTGTCAAAATTTCTACACATTTGCTACAAACCTTCAGTCCAGGATGGACTGATTGGATTGTGGTGCTTTGATCTTTGGTCAAAGATCACTGGAACCTTACATGTTTTTGGTCTTGTTTACGTGTCATCTCAGGAACAGCTTGAGGGAATTACTGAGTTCACTGGAGTTCACTGTGACCTTACTACACCCCTTTTAGCAAAGTGATCATGTTATTGTAAGATTACATTTTTTTGTATTTCACTGAATCTCTTTTCTCTTTTCTTTCTATCAGTGGTCGGAGTGAAACTAGACCTTGAAGCTTGGACGGATAAGTTCAAGATTCTTGCCAGTAACCACACAGACAACCGTCAAGGCTCAAACACGGTAATATTTTGAAATTGGCGTAAAAAGTGCCAACTGCGTAATTGAAATTATTGAAGGAATGACTTGTTTTTTCTCTTTGGCAGTGTGGACCAAACAGGGGCTGTGAAATGGACTGTGAAGCCAACAGTGAGGTAAGTATTTCAGAAGATGTTTTGAGTGTGCTTCCTGTTTCCACGTGCTTCCAGTTATCAGTCTGATTTTGCCTGTGTGTGCAGGATCTCCTGTGTTACTTAATAGACGACGGTGGATTCCTGATCATGTCCAATCAGAAGGACGACTGGAACAAGGTGAAGCTATTAAATTCATTTTCACACCGACCACAGCTTTACCCTGATCTTTACACAGGACATGACCAGCGTTTTTTTGTCCTCCTACAGGTGGGAATGTTCTTCAGTGATGTGGACCCCTACTTGATGTACGCTCTCTACAACAATTCCTTCTACAACCGCAAGCAGTCATTTGACTACCAGTCTGTGTGTGAACGGATGCCCAACAGTGAAGCTGGAGCTGCACCCAGAGGAGTGTTTGTGGTGAGAACAGAAACTCAGCATGAGATGCAATAAATGAAGGAGGCAGAAGAAAAGATGATGCACTGAGTTAATGGATGGACATGTATAGAGACTATTGAAATATGCATGTACTGCTCTGACATTTATGTTCACATTTCCCCTGTTTCTGCAGCCAACAATTGCAGATTTTGTAAATCTGGCTTGGTGGACGTCAGCAGCTGCATGGTAAGATTTGTTGAGCTGTGATAAAAACAGTAACATAGAGTCCACATGTGTTTTATCTGTTGGTAAAAGACTTAATTGAAACATGCATATTTTAACAGCTGTATGCTACAAACCCTGTATGGAAATGATCATCGCTATCATTGAGAATAGCCTGTTGCTAGTGTTGTAAAGTCTTGCTCACGCTTAGTGCTGCTGTTTTACTTGTAGGACTTCCCGGCATTAAATATTGACAAATTACACTACAAGACCAAAAATGGGGGTGAATCTAATAAACTAGTATCAGATCGTTACATAGATTTACGGTCTCACCGATTCCCAACCCGTCTTTTCTGCAGTATTGGAGGCATTGCTCATATCAGAACATCTCTAATTATATTTTTCAATCCATCTTACGAGAAATATATTATTCATGGCCTCTGTACAGATACAGCTGCCTCACTCTAAACTCCCATCTGCATTAATCCCATGTTTTACCTGCAAGACTCCTGTTTAAATTACCTGTGTTCATTATCTTTGATATGAGAACATCAGATTTTTTACATAGAGAAATACATAGCTTGCATCCTGGTCATAGTTGAGTTATAAAATCCTAGGGCTCCACGGTATCTCTCCTGCTGCTCAGCTAGAGGAGGTTGTGTCAGTGAACCGGAGCTGAAAGTGTTGGTGAAGCAAACAGAAATAAGTTGTGCTTCCCTTCTTAGTGTGGAAAGTTCATAGCTTCTTTTACTAGGCCAACATTTATAAAATCTTATGTCTCCACAGGTCCATATTCCAGCAGTTTATATACGGACTGGCTTATCACAGTTGGTTTGCCACAGGTAGGTACATACTGGGTATTGGATCAGTGAATGTTAGTTCAGTATTTTTTTATTGTATTGTTTATTGTCAGTTACACTTTCCTATCATTATACTTTGCAGTCATTATAGCCTTGGATGTGCTAAAATTGCTTTTTGATTGTGTGAAGTCATTAGATTTAATTCAATTTGGCATTAGTGCACACATTCCAAATGTACACTATGTAAGGGAATGGTGAATGAAGCTACATCGTTTCCAGCATCAGATCTTATCAATCAGTTGAAGTGACATGTGTTGCTTGTGTGTCTCTGTGCTCTGGTGACGCTGCAGATGAGGTGGACGCAGACGGAATCGATTCCAAAGAGCGGAGTTGTGTAATGATACAGACGCAGTACTACTTAAGTAATCTGAGCAGCTCCTACAACATCCTGCAGGACTGTGGCAACTGCTCCAGGTCTGCACACACACACACACACACACACACACACACACACACACACACAAAACAAAGAATCGTGTCAGAAAGATATATCTTTCTATTGGAGCTGATGATGAACACGTATCAGCTTTAATGGAACACTCGCATCATTGGCTAAATGAGCCTTATAAGACTGTCTCATGAATCTCACTGATCCATTAGTAAATGAGTGTGTGATGTGAGTGAACAGAGAGGACTGTTGAGTCTCTCTCTCTCTCTCTCTCTCTCTCTCTCTCACTCTCTCTCTTTCTCTCTCCCTCTCTCCGCAGGCTGATTCATGCCAAGAGGATAAACAACACCAACTTACTGTTTGTGGTGGCAGAGAAGATGCCATGCAACACCTGTGAGATAGAGAAGCTGTCCCAGGAGGAGGAGGAGTGTATCCTTTTTTTCATATTGTACACCAGCTGGCAGACAAGAAGAAGACGATCACTAGATTCTATCTCCTTATTACCATACCTGCGTAACCACAGATGCTTCACAGTCATTTCAAGGTTATTTTTATCACAGTGATGTGAATTATGACCAGTCATTTACATCTGTAGGCCTGCGTGAGGAATCGGTGTGTGGGCGAGTGATGAAACACTGCGGAAAAGAAAAAACGGGGAAAGAAATTCGAGGGATTTTAAATGTTCCTTAATTGAGTCACTTTCCAGTTAAAGAGGAAAATCCATGTGAAGAAATGACTGTGGCGCGTTATCGAAAAGGGCCGTCCACCTGCTTCGACTACAACATGGCTGTAAGATTTTCACGCACTATATCAGGAAACACAAACTTAGCTAGTGAGGAAAAACAATATCATGAATAGGAAGAAAAAATATTTAACCCAGTTCATCACTTTGAAAACCAGACTCACTCTTATTCTCATTCCTAAATTTGAGTTACATTGTGATATACTCAATAGATGATTAATAGATGATTGATAGGGGGATGGGGGGGTTGCCCTCCCCCTTAAACGAAAATTACCCAAAAACCCATCCTCCATAAACAACCTGTTTATTCTGCCATCTACTATGAGTGAGAGCGCTGTGTGAGCAGGTGAGAGAATCTTTAGTGCCTGTGAACATCCCATAGTTGGTGCTGCTAACAAAATAGTGGGATCCGCAGTTTATTTTTAAAAGTTAAAACCAAATGCCGTCAAAAAGAGCAGGAGCACAGCGCTCTTTGCCTCGGTCTCCCTCACTCTTCCACACAAACACACTGACCGTCTGTCAGTCACATTGACCATCAGTGGGAAAAATCGTATCCCCAGTGGTCGTTAAAATAACCACAGAGATGTTAAGGTTCTCTGAAGACAGGCAGGATTTAACAGAAACTTTGTAAATACTGCTTTTGCTGCACATTTCGAACATGCAGACAAAAACAGAATGAATGACACATGTTCAATAAATAGTTGTTGCATACATTAGTCAGAAGCTTGACTGATTAATATATGGCTGTTTTCTATAGTATTAAAAATATGACAGCTGGGTATTTTTTTTCGTCCGCAGGAGAACACGTCAGACTGTGGGCGAGGTCACTCTTTCCGTCCGTCTCTCTACACTTTACTGCTTATTCAGCTGCTTCTTCTTTATCCAGCTGTCAGCCCCCACTTCCACTCGCTACTACATTAATTCCGTTCTCCTCCAGTTCTCCTCCTTTTAGCCCTCCTCCTCTCCCGCCCCCTCAAACCCTGTTCCCCCTACCTCCTCACCTCCCCACCCTCCTACGCCCCCACCCCCTGTTATAGTCATAGGTAATAATGGGACTTCCCATCACAGCAAGTCGGAAGCCCACGAGTGCCACGCTGCCCAGCTTGCTTCAATTTGTGTCGCTTAGTGACAACTGCCGGGCCGTTGGGGCCCTCAGCCAGTTAACCTTCATTCGCAGGAAAAGCGGGTGGTGCCGCACCACCTGGGTCATCAGAGACAATGTCCGAAAAGAAAACAAAGCCCCGCCCCTGCGACCACCTCCACCACATCCACCATCCGGAGAAGGGAGGGGTTAAACGGACAAGTCGGATCCCTGCCTCACACAGACTGGAGAGTTGAGGTCACCTTTGCCTCTGTCGGTCAGACAGATGGCGGGACCGCTGCTCTGTCGCTCACCTCTCGTGTGGGGCTGCGGACCATTCGACAACTAACATCCACCGCAAAAGATTTAACAAATAAGAACTTTCAAGTATTCAAAATGTCAAGTATAAAGCGCTGAAGTGATAAGTATTCCAAACATACAGTATATTTAGGTTTTGATTTAACAAAGGAATTCATTAGGTGTTAACAAAAAAAAAAGATGTGAATTAATTTATGCACTATATCTATTTGCCAAAATGAGATAGACTTTCATGTGGTCTTTATTTTTGTAGCCAAAATACTAGAAGAAATGGCTTCTGATTTTGATGGAGGATAAACCACAAGAGGAGGAGTCGGTCAGAAACTGAACGCTGATTCATTTTGTGCAGCTCCTTAATTACAGATTAATGCTTTTGAAAAACATCCACTGGGGATTAGTGTAATTACATGATGGTAATTGCATTTCTTGAAGTGTTTTTTCCTGATATTTACGTTCTAAGGCTCATGTTTATCAGACTGTAAAAATACGAATCAGTGTTCAGTTGCTGCAGATTTGTTCGGGGAGCTCTGTCGATGTCGTGGAGTTTTCTCCTTTATGATCAAACGACCATTCTGACCTCTGGTTTGGACTGATATTATAAAAAAAAAGCTCACCTCTGCCAATCCTCATGAGGCTTCTCCAGTAACCCAACACTCCTCATCTCGATTTGTGAGTGTGCTTTACACAACAAACGCAAGCTCTTATCCTCATGACTCTCATAATAGGTCATGGTGGTTCTTTTTCTTATTGTTTGGGGGGGGTTGTATTACCTTTGACTGATGCTGTTCAAACTTCAAAATCATTCGCTGCTGGGGGACAGGGGGCTTATCAATTTCCAACAAAAGTGCAGAGGAGGCCACTAAATATGGTGATAGCGTGCAGTAAGTAGTACTCTGGTTGTAATCCGTCGCAAGTTTCGTCATTTGATCATCACGATGTGTGCAAAGTCATTTAGACTCCCATGTTTAGGAGCCGCTCTGTTTCATAGTGCCTTGATGCACTTTGTTTTGGAATGCATTGGCTGTATATGAGTAGAGCTACTGTATAGTACCTTTATTGAGCAGCCATCTTTGAGGCTGCAGGAACCTGAAAAGACTGAATCCGCTGAGTATACAGCTGAACCACGGACCAGCTCCAGCTTAATGTATCTGCTCTCTCGGCTGTGGTCGCTGTGCCCCCTCAGAGACCACCTGACTGCCACCATATGGAGTTACTATACCGTTCCTTTACAAAGCCATGTATAGAGCTACGATACACTATCAGTATACAGCGATTTAACTGGCCATAGAGCATTTTTAGGGCCACCTGACTGCTATAGTTCTGCCTGAATCGTATGTGTTAGTGTGTGCGTGTATGTGTGTTAGTTTGCGTTTCAAACCCTCAAAGGGAATGTCTTTTAAATGGAGTGCGTCTGAGGGATGACAGTTGTGGTAGCATAGCCGTTTTTTTTTCCTGTTCCTATATTGCAATGGACAAAATCTAGTGTTGTTGTTGAGAAAAAAAGGGATTTTACAGAAATGAAAAAGAAAAAAGAAAAAAAAAAGAATCCATCTTCAAACATCCGTCTGCTTAAATATCGATCCAAGGGAGCAGAGGTTTCCGGAAGAATGTGTAGTTCATCAGTGTTTTCTGTTTCAGATGCAACATATATAACAAAGCCTCTCTAAATGCCTTAGTGTTAACACAGTACGGAGCTCTGATGCGTCCCCCTCCCCTGTCACTGCACATTCTCTCTCACGCACACACAAAATAGATCCTCCAAAATATTCGCCTCCTCCGGGTTTTCTTGGTGTTCTGCAGTAAGTATAGTGAGCTCTAGTTTTGTATTTTCAACGTCTTGGAATGATCCGCTATTGATTGATGCCTGTGCGAGTAAATGCTTGAAAGCCGGTGGGAGTTTTAAAAAAAAATTCTAAAGCGTCTGAACTTCGATGTTCTCACACACACACACACACACACACACACACACACACACACACCCACCTCAAACCTCACTGCATTGCTCGGGTGGGATGATTCACACAATGATTTGAACCTTAACTTGCACACTCTGTACAGTAGTTGGTACCTTTAGATGTGACAAACATGTCGGCACAGTAACTGCAGCGCGGCTCTGAATAAACCGGACTAAGAAAATAAAAGACTGTTAGAAAAAGAAACATTTCACATTTGTGTTTTCCAATTAGGCTCGTTTCAGTGCAGGTTCAGGCCGGGTCACCTGATGCCGGATGCAGTTTTACTTTCCTGGCATTTGTTTGTCTCTGTCCTGTGCCATTAATTCTGTCTGTATTAGCCCTATTTCCACTCTCTGTAAATGAACGCTACACGTGCCTGTGGAAATGTACCCCCTGCGACTTCCTCTCTTTTCCTGGCTCTGTACGCAGTCTCACACGCACGTATACGTAAATATGTGGCCCTATACAGTTTGTGCACCTGCACTGAGACATTATGCACACAAACATAGTAAAACATGTGATGACACTTATTCATGCCCAGCTGGGAGATGTCGAGCACCAGGCAGAAGTAAGAAAAAAAAAAAAAAACAAGGGCGTCACTATCCCAGGTGGGTGTTTTCTTTGTGAGCGGGGCGGGATGTCAGAGCAGAGGCAAGCTAAGGGAGTGGGTCTCCACAGAGCAGCATGGGCCTGTCAAACAGAAGGTCATGGAGGAATCATGTAGTGACGTCTGTGTGCATCCTGACAGAAGACGTCTCCTTTTAAAGGGACCACACGAATGATTTCTGTGGTTTGACAAATTTACTTTTGCCACAAAATGGAAAAAAAAGAAAAATAGTAAATTGGTCCAGCTTGGGGATGAGAGGGGAGGGGTCATCGTTAAGGCCGAAGCCCTGAAATACTTCAGGGTTTCTGTGACGTCTCCTCCCGAACCCGGCTGCATCTGTGTTGGTGCGTCTCTGTGGGAAAGACACGTGTGTATGTGATTCTGTAGTCTGTAGTCTGGTGCTATGTGACCATGTTTGACAAGTGTGTGAAAAAAATAACATTTAGAGGAAAAAAAGAGTGAAATCAGTCCAATTTTAAGTGAAGTAAAAAAAATATAGGAATACAGCACTGTTGATAAGTTTGAGATCTGAAGTCAAAATGTTTTTTGATTTCTTTTGTTTAATTTCTTGTGCGTATGTGAGTGTGAATGTTTGTGTGTGTGTGTGGAAGATTTCGCTCCTTCTTTTCTGGGCACTGGTCCATGTCGCTCCATTCTTTTGTACAGAAGCTTAAAAAAAAGAAGAGGGCAAAATTTGTAAAATATTGTGTCTGTGACTCCTTGTAAAATATTTTCAAATTGTTTATTACAGAGAATCAGTTATTAAATAATGTTCATATTTTTCACTTCATTTCCGTGTGTGGTGTCTGATTTTTTTCAGAGGGACACAGCGGAGTCATTTATTTCATCTGTTAAAATGAAATTAACAAAATCTAGAAAATGATCAACACTAAATGTGGCTCGATCAGTTGTAAAACAAGTTTTTTTAGTGCAGTATTAAAACAACACAATGTAAGAATTGCTCTCTAGTTCCCCCTGTAGGAGATTTACCAGGTTGGCATCTGTCCTGCATCCTTCAACCTATTTTAGCTCTTACCAATATTCCGATATTCACTCTTCTACAGTTTCTTTCTATTTTCCTCTTCTTCTCCCCTCTGACTATGTCCTCTTTGTTTTCTGCGCCCTCTGCTGTGATGTCCATACTAGAGTTTAGATACCCAAGTCCCAATGGATTAGCCAGGTTCGTTAGATAGATTCGGTCAGGTTAGCCGGACTATCTGATATTTTACGCTGGACATTGCTGGACATTTTACGCTGGACATTAGGGAAAACTGTATTTTTTTCTTGCCGAGAGTAAGATGATGAAGATTAACATCACTGTGTGACTGTGAGAAAAACAAATCTGTGTTTAATGTGGCAGATGATCATTGCTCAGTTAACATATCCACCAAAATGTTGAACTTTTCCTTTAAAAGTCTCCTCGTTAAAAAGTGAGAGTCATAATCAGGTCATACAGGGTGACGTCTGTGTTTATGAGTCATTTCTAATGTCGTAACCCTGACGCCTCCCCGCTCATCTGAGTCATTTCTCAGTGAACAGCTTCACAGCGTGTTGAGGAAGTCTGTGAGAACTTTGTGCCACGTGTCCGGGTCGTCCAGGTAACAGGGATGACCCGCCCCTTTCATCACCACCACGCTGTGATTGGCCAGATTGCTCAGGTTGCGGAGCGACACCTCTCCGAGCTGAGCATCCTGGTCACCGTAGACGATGAGCGATGGGACCTGGAGGAGGAGGCATGAGACGCACAGAAGAAGAAGAAGAAATCCAACCCGTTACTAAAGGGATTTTGAAGATGCCCTACATTTTATTTTTATTAGGTGTGACTGTAAGAACAAAAGTTTAGTAAAAACAAGAGAAGGCAGATCCTAATATTAGCTTTCATCAGCTGTATTTAGATTATTTACTCAAATGTCACAATACCCTGATATAAATGTATTATACCTCCAAGTACAACAACAGATTAATTATTGTATCGCTGAAAAACTGCAGATTAAACAAAAAATGGTAAAATGAGTGGCTGAGATATCTTTACACCGAGGCACCATATTCTGTCAGAGCTGCAGAATCCAATCACAACATTATCTGCTTCTCCAATAAGAGCATTTCCTCATTTCTGTAACTCACTCGTCTCCTTCAGGGTTTATGCACCTTCACTTTGCCATCGCAGAAATTGAATGTTGACAGAGGTTGGAGTTGAATGAAAGTCGTCCGTGAAAGTACAAAGTCCTGATATCTACCCGTCTCATGGTTACATGTAAAAATCCACAGCCTCTTAAAAGGGGACGAGGAAAGTGTTGGAAGTCGCACTTGACATTCATGGTTACTTAAGTTACACTTTAAAGAGTAAATGAAGAGCAAAAAGGAAACTACAAAAGAATTTAAACCAGGGTAATATCCTCGACTGTACCTTCACACTCTGGTACTGCTCTGCTGTGAATTTGTCAGTGCAGATGGGAGCTACAGGGACGTAGGCTCGTATCAGGGCCTGGTGCTGCAGGAGGAAGGGGAGCGAGTACATCCCACTGAGGGACGGGCTAATCACCACCACAGGGCCCAGGCTCAGCTGCTCACACACCTCCTTCAGGAAACTCGCAGGGGCCAGTTCTCCCAGCGGTGCCAGGGCCTCGGCTGACTTAGACTGGCCGAGTCCTGTCGAGAAAGAGGGAGAGCATATGAAGCTGAGTAGATCCCACTTCCTGTTTAAAGAGAGGCCAGATTAACCTGTTCTGTGTTCCAGAGCAGTTGCTCTCTCTGCCTTGTTTGGTATTAAACACATGTATGTGTAGAAGTGAAGAAGACAGAGTTTGTTCCCTCCACACTCACCTGGCAGGTCGATGGCGACCGCACGGCAGCCAGCTTTGGCCAGAGTCTCCAGAGTGCCGATGTTGAGCCAGTTCTCTGATGAGAAACGGATGCCATGCAGGAGTAAAACTGACATCCTCGCTTCCCCGGTGGCAGGTTCACTTTGTCTGTAGAACAGCGGCACTCTGCAGCTGTCCACCTGCACGCTCCCCTCTGACATCTTCACAGCTGACATCCTGAACACAATAAAACATTTTTACATTACACTGTGTTCACAAGTCAAACCAGATCAAGTTCAATGACAGTGAAAATCCCCAAACCACATATTTATATGAGAGGCCTCTGACATCTGAAAAATAATTGATAATCAGTCAGTCAAAACTAAAATCATTCTGTTACACAGCTGTAACCTGAATAAAAACTTTTATTTGTGGACTATGAAACAAAACAAGTGTTCAATTTTCACAGAATATAGAAATAATCTACAAAAAACATTGATAGGCTAATCAACAACAATGTTGTTTTATATTATATTAAGTTAATATTCCACCACAATATGTATAAAGGTAAAAATTAAAATAAAAGGGCAAATAAAATATAGATACTGATATTTGTGTAATGTATTTATCATTAGTAATAGCAGTAGTAGTGCAGTTATTGGTTTACAGTACATATATACACATAAATGAATATAATTGGTATAATTATTCATTCTTACTATGTACTATTACGTAGTGATAAATCCAAATACTAAAATGAGGCCATATAAACAAATAAATAATCGAGTGGCAGATGCTCACATCAGCAAAGCAGCCAAGTTGATTTCCTTCCCTTCAATCATTTCTGTGCTTGATGAAGATTCGTAGTAAACAACAACTTTTGGATTTGATTGCACAGATTGTTCCTGCTCATCTGCTCCACACACGTATTATTGATTGATTGATTGATTGCTTGATTTGTTGTGATCAGTTTGCAGCGGAGACGTGTGCTCCTGCACAGCAGCTGCTGCAGGTTCAAGCCTCAGAGCAAAGTTCAGATCTGATTCACTTTATTTGAATTTACTCTCAATTCTTTCATCACAAATAGATCATTCACGAAACACGATCAGACTTCTCTCACCTGAACTCACTCTGCGGAAACGAGAACGAAAGCTGCAGCAGCACAGTCTGTGCTTGTAGTTTTTAAAACCACAGCTGAAGCTTCACTTTATTTCCTGGAAAACAGGAGGAGGAGGAAGAAAAAAAGAACTTCTTGAAACCAACATACTGCCGCCTATCGTTTGTTTGGAGAACTGCTTTTATTTTGGCAGCAAAATTAAAAACCCCTCTGACACAAACCTGTTGTTTTGTGTGTGTGCAGGGTGTTTGGTTTAATCTTCTGGAACTTTGTAGTCACAGACAGTGGAGGAGCATGAGGAAAAAAAAAAGTGCATGGACATGTGTCACTGCTCATTAATGATTGATGCATGTATTGATTGGCTGTGTGTTGGGGGATTAGGGCCTCTGTGTGTTTGAGTTAGTGTGCAGTATTTGTGTGTGTGTGTGGGTCGTTGTGTTGAATTCTGTGTTTTCTGTGGGGGGTTTTCGCCGGGGATTTTTCCTCTCCCTCTCCTTTATCAGGTCAACCTGTGATCGAACATTTAATCCTTAAACCCAAATCGTCAGTCTGTGCTCTCGGGCTGCTTCTCTCCAGTATTATCTCTTTATCTTCCACACAACACACCAACCATGAAGCTGCTGCTGTCCTGCATTCTGCTGACTGTCCCACTGGTCACTGGTAAGAGATATTTACTTTTATTTGAAATGACTCTGAAAGTTTTAATCATCTGAATTGCCGTGAGGACAGTGACGTCTTTTATGTGTTTTGACAGCAGCAGATTTTGTGTGAAAGCCTCTGGTCACTGTCGTCTTCTAAGATTAGTGATCGAGTTACAAAAAATGAAGAAACCCTTAAAATACAGCCTATAATTTATCTTACATGTATTGTTTTTCTTTTTTGGGTTTTTTTTTATTTTTTATTGTTGTATTTGTGTTGGCAGTTGTGTTTTTTTCTGGACTCACAAACCAGCAGCTGTGTGTCCAAAGGTTATATGTGTGTAGGCTCGGGCCCAAATGATGCAGTTGGTATAAGTTAGCACCTGCAGCCTCGGTTGGACCAGGACTTACGTGTAGGTTACAAAGACACAGTCCAGGCAGTGATCCGTGGTTCTGGTTCTGTTGTGTGTGAACAGGGTACCGCAGCCCCCTGAATGACTTCCAGCGCTCTGAGGGCCGAGAGCTGGTTCCTACCGCCTGGAACTCAGCTCGGGTGTTGATGTTCCTGGGACTGAACCTGGAGGAGTGTGCCACACGCTGCTCTCAGTCACTGGACTGCAGGTATCCACCTTAAAAAACCTTTATCCCGCAGGTTGGGATATTTATCAGAGACTGACCAATATGGATATGTGGGGGCCGATGCTGATGGTTAAAAAAAATTCTATACCAATAAATCAACGACATAGGCCCATACATATAAATTAAGGATTTGCATTGATTTCTGAAGGGATTTTCACACCTACCTTGTTTGGGTTCAGACCTTCGGACTTTTCAGTTTAGTTCAAACTAAAATAACAGACGTTTAGTCGGACCTTAAGACTTGGGCTCTGTCCAGATCAAACTGAGCCATGGTTTGGTTTGTTTGCAGAGTGAAATAACTTCTCGGGACATTTCTGACTTGCAGAGGTATAGCAGGAAGTTGACACAGCATCAAACAATAGAAGGGGACAAAGAAGCAAAAGCAGCTCAGTGTTAGTTGCTGTTGATGAGCTTTCAGTCCCATCACATGATCTTCATCGGCAGATGTTGTTCAGTTTGTTCCCAGTGATGTAAAGAACTCTGACATGAAAATCTCCCTCACCACCAGAGCGTTCAACTACGAGACACGTCCCGTCGTCACCTGTAAGCACCTGCCCTGGGTGGGAGACGGCAGCAACGCGGAGGTGAAGAGAAACGTGAACTGTGACCTTTACGAGAAGAAGGGTAAGATTCAGGTGTGCTCACACTGTGTGACGTCGTGGAGATTAATGTGATGTGTCGGACTGGAGTTGTTTAACCGATCGTGTGTTATTGTGAAGTGTACGTCAGGAAGTGCATCGTGGCAAAAGGAGAAGACTACCGGGGGAAAGTGTTCACCACAAAGAGTGGTCTCACCTGCCAACAGTGGTGGTCCAAGTTTCCTCATGACCACAGGTGAGATACTCTGAGGAATACTACATTACAGTAGTTACATTACACTGACGTTGTAGACTTTCATACTGCTCATGAACGATGTTCATATCCACACTGGATGAAAGACTCTTTTAATACATGAGCAACATATTGTAGAACCATGCAACGGGTCAGAGACAGTTGGTATCAGCCAAGTTCGCCTGGACACAAATTATTAATTTATTGTCACTGAATCTCTTTTGTCCAAAAATGTATTATAATAGCAAACTGAATTGTAAGGATTGTAAGCAATGTTGTGCACAACTTGTTATTACCTCCACCAAGGAGGTTATGTTTTCATCTGCATATGGTTGTTAGTTAGTTTAAGCAAAAACTACTGGTGAGGAAAGAACCTATTCAATTTTGCCGTTGATCTGGTTCAGGAGGCAGATATTGGAATTCTCTTTTCACTTTCTTCAACCAGTTTTAATATGTCTGAGGCATGTTTCTTCATTTTGTTGATGAGTTTATAAAACTGTACTGGTTTCCCCTCACAGCTAGAGACAGAGCTGGAGCGGAACACTACAGATATGTGTCCTAATAATCCGTCTGCAGTGAATAATAACTCACTGTAAACCTGTCTGTCTGTCTCAGGTGGACTCCCACAACTGCAAATGGCCTGGAGCTGAACTACTGCAGGAATCCAGACGGGGATCGAATCGGTCCGTGGTGCTACACCACAGATCCTGAGCGACGCTATGAAGGCTGCAACATTCCCCAGTGCAAGGATGGTAGATGCAGATCAAACATCTTTACCAATTTCCCAGGGAATGATTCATAGATCAGGGACATTAAGAGAACTGACGTCTAGGAGTGTGTGAAATTTGGTGCAGCTGGATTTAATTTAAGGGGACTTTGGGGCCTTGATGGAGGTATGTGTTCTATAAAGCTGAGACAGAAATAATTCTGGATACAAATAATCAGTTAACATCAGGTGCAGATGAAAAGTAGTTGGAGATTATTAGAATAATTTCCTGTTAATATTTAGTACATTTTTACATGTGCGTATGCTTTAAAATAGAGAAAGACATTTTTCCATATTTGCACATTTAGCAGACTTAATGTTCACTGACTATAAGAGTTGTTCAAGTAAAAGAAGGCTGCAATTATAAAGCATACAATTAAAACACAGTCTACATTCCCCTTGTAATTAGGAGCAAATTACAGTATTTTCCATGAACCTGCTAAGAAACTATATGAGTTCATTTATTATGAGAGCTGTAAAATAACATTGATCCTGTGTTTGTGTGACACCTCTGACTTTGATACTGGAATGTTGCTGTTTGCAGAGGTTTGCATCACATGTAACGGAGAGGACTACAGAGGGCAGGTCGACCACACTGTGAACGGCAGAGAGTGTCAGCGATGGGACCAGCAGTATCCTCACCAACACATCTACCAGCCGGAAAAGTACACAACCACATCACATGACCTGATGAGACTAAAATGGATTGTATGAATTATGTTAGCAGTGATCTGTGTCACACCACACGTTTGTATTTTTCAGGTATCCTGATAAAAGTTTAGATGATAACTACTGTCGTAACCCTGATGCCTCCCCGGAGCCCTGGTGTTACACCACAGACCCTGAGGTGGAGAGAGAGAACTGCGAGATCAGCAAGTGCAGTAAGATGATGGTTTTCTTATAGACATCATGAATGCTCATAATAAGTTGTTCCCACTTTATTAACAAAATGAGAATAAATGAGGATTTCCTTTTATCTTCAGTGGCCGAGAATAATTATCTTTGGGTGTTGGACAGTTGTGAAAAATCTTATTTAAAAAATGTTTTTATGACCATTTATTATGAATCAGCAGATGGCTCAAGTAAGACGTTTTGTATCATATCATTGGATTAGACCTTCTGGGTTGTTCCTGTTGTTTTTTTTGCCTGTGTTTTTTCATTAGTTCATGATTTGGGCTAAATCGATTCAATTCCTGTGGCATTTGGAAACACGGTGGGAATAAGGAATCTCATTAAGTGGCTGTAATTAAATTTAGAAAAATCACCTTTGTGGTGTTTGTGCAAATGACTTCCCAGATTGTGAGACATTTCAGAATTGCCTGCACAGAGTCATTTTGATTTTGGGCTAAATGTGGCTAAAGTGTGCTAATGTTTGTCAGGAATTCAAGCTCTGCTTCGTCTCTCAGTGTCTCAGGTTAATTAAAGGTTAATTAGAATGTGTTTATTTCATTTATTTCTCTTTATGCAGCTTATTTTAACCTGTTTTTCCATTTTCTCTGCTAAACTGTGATAGAGCTGTCATCAGCACTAACAATTATCATACAAATAAACAGCAAATCACAATGTAAAGGCATAAAGAATAGTTTGTTATGTGGTTTTTAAAATTATGTTTAAATTAAAAATCAATACCTTTGGGTCAATGTTTCCACGGTTTTGAAGTTGAGTCTACTAAGTACATTTTTGTAATGCTTTTGTTTTCAGGGTAGTCTCACTGAGAAGCAGCTTGTCTTTACAGCGATGCTCTGGTCGCATTATAGACACATTCATACCTGGAATACACACTTTGTTCCCTAAATGTAATCCTGCCAGTCTGGGGATTGATCTGTGATCTTCTAGTCACAAGCTTGCTCCTCTAACCTTCAGGACACTGGCTCTCATTCAATAATTGATACGACAAACAGAATCAAATGCTGAACCTTTATCTCCAGAACATGAACAAATAAATATACAGGGCATCGGAGTTTCTACAGGAGTTGTGTAAAATGAGACTGAGAGCAGAGATCAGTGCAGGCTGAAAGTCTGTAGTGATAGCACCATCTTGTGGTGTAGCTAGAAAAATAAATCACTGCCCTGGGATTCATTTTACTGTAAAACTTTACTGGTGGAAGAACAACTTCGGATCACTGACACAGACATAAAGAAATAAAACGGATTTCCTTAAGATTCACAATCATCCTGGTCTTATCACCCCACAGTAAGAATTATCCTTAGATCACCATGGATTTATGAAAAAGAAAATAGTTTCATCATATGAATTAAATTGTTTCACATAAAAATGTTCAGTCTGAGAGCTACTCAGCTTTAGTGCTGGGATAGTGAAAGAATTACAATTACATACAATTACATGGGTTGTAACATTCACCGAATGTTCTCTTCTCCTTTATCCGCGAAGAGTCCTGCTAGGTGGGTCCACATCATCCAACAATCAACCTCTGTTTCATCCAAAGAAAAATTGTAACACTAATTCATTCTGTTTCATTTTGCTCCTTTCTGCCCAGCTGAAGTTCGTGTTGAGAAACGTCAGCGCTCCAGCTTCACCACCAACTGTTTCCGCGGCCGAGGCGAGGATTACCGGGGTAAAGTCAACGAGACGACGTCGGGTATCTCCTGCCAGAGGTGGGATGCTCAGCATCCTCACGAGCATCCCTTCTACCCAAACACATATGAGTGCAAGTAGGTACAAAAAACTGCATGAGGAAGGAAAGGGAATAAAAGTTGAGTGTGTTTGACAAGTGTGTTTAAAAGGTGAAAGTGCTTTGGGGTCAGTCCCATCACTTATTGCCTGTTAGTTTGAGAAAGTGCTCTGTTTGCTTCACATGAATATTAATGTCAAGATGTCATTGCAGTGAAATTTCCTGTGATCTTATTTTCCTGCTGACAGTTGACAGAGGATGATAGATGGTCAGCAGCTCCACATTAAAGAGCCGCTCGCTCTCTGAGTGGCAATTATGGATGTGAAATGAATATTAAACTTATTTGTGAGGCAGGGAACACTTATCCTGCCAAAGCCCATTATTGGCTGTCTTCTGTTTTTAGTAGAAGTGTTGGTGTAATCTTCATATGACCAAATGAATGGGACTAGAGAAATGTAGCATGTGTGGTCATTTAATGCATCAGTGATGAGACTGATGAGGCTGATGATGGTCACTGTGTGTTGCACCTCATCCAGGGGCTTGGAGGAGAACTACTGTCGGAACCCAGATGGGTCGGAGGCTCCCTGGTGCTTCACATCTGTGCCAGAGATGAGGACGGCGCTCTGCTTACAGATCAAACGCTGTGCCGATGACATAGAAGCCGAGGGTACAGATCCTTCTTTTCAGATTTTAGCACACAAGATGAATTCAGTGAACATTGTAGATAACTGTCAACATCAGTGGATTAAGATGAGTCTCTGTCTAATATGTAGAGTATTTATGAGCAGAGCTTTAAGCAGGATTCTGGAGATACAGAGGTCATGAATACAAACTTACTTTTTGTTTAACTTATACAGTTACATGTTCATGTAAAATATATATTTTCTGTGTATATTATTGGTCTTTTTAACATGAACAGTGCTCATTGAAGAAGTGCTCTTATATGGTCGGATGGGCATAGAACTGAAACCTTTATTTTTTATGTGCTTCCTTGTCACTGACATGATGATGTTGTTGTTTCTTCTCAGATTGCTACCACGAAAATGGAAAAAACTACAGAGGAATGGTTCGTAAGACCCGCAAGGGAATCACCTGCCAGAAATGGAACGTTAATACACCTCACCGGACCAAGTACGCCAACCATTGATATGTAACATCACATAATACACTGGAAATAGTCCAAATGCCACAAAACACTTCCAGTGTTGTTTTGAAGAACACTAGAAACGTAAAAGTAATCATTGATGTTGGTAAAACTCCACCAAACTAATAAAATAAGAAAATAATAGATTTTGCTGTCTCTAAATTAAGTTTTATATCAGTATTACCATTAGATATATTTATTTCTTTTATAATAAATTGTCCTTCAAAGATTAGGATAAAGTGCATTCTGGACATAGCGTAAAGTTGAGCCTCTGATGCTGCCAGCCATGAGAATCGTTCCACTAAAGAAAAATTGAAATAGAAAATTCACTCTGCTTATTTGTGACATTTATGAGCTGCCTATAACAAAATCAATCTGTGTGATTTTCCAGGATAAACACAAGGACACATCCTGAGGCCAATCTGACAGAGAATTACTGTCGTAACCCAGATGGGGACCAGCATGGACCCTGGTGCTACACCACTGACCCCAAAACTGAGTTTGACTACTGTGCCATTAAACAGTGTGGTACAGACACACAGCTCTACTCTCTCTGTCTACTTTAAGATCTTTATCTCAGTGAAAATTCATCTAGAGCCTCTGTTTTCTGACAGGCAATTTAACGATTCATCTGTTTCATGATGTTTTCAAACAGCTGGAGAGAAAGTGTCCCTGACTGATCCAGAAGGTTCGTCTCTGACTGAAATTGAAGCAAGATTTCGAAGTTGACAACAAGCGTCCTTGTCTATTATTGCCATCATATTTCATCTTTGCTCTCTCCTTAACACAGAGGAGGTTGAGTTTAGTGAGTGTGGAAAGAGAGAGGACCGTGCCCAGAGTAGCAGGCTGCGTATCGTGAACGGGGTTCCTGGAAACTCGCCATGGACAGTGAGCCTCAGAGACAGGTGAGTCTGGGAGAATACAGTATATCCACAAACTGGTTAAACACACTGAGCTGTGCTGTTTGTGAACTTTGACATCTGTGTGCAGGAAAGGAAACCATTTCTGTGGAGGATCCTTGGTTGACTCCAGATGGGTGATCAGCACCAAGCAGTGCTTCTCCTCTTGGTAAGCTTTATTCATTTAAACGTTTTTAAGGCACAACCAATTAGCATCAGTGGATTCGTTTGAATTCGTGAACAGCCGGTTGCAAACAGCAAACTACTAAAAGAAGTTCGCAGAAAACATGTATGCTGAGGTGTAAAACAAAACAAGATGTTTTCGCCTTGCTTACTGCCGCCATTACCTCTTTGAAAGATAGTTTGTCAAAAATGCACAATAAATCATGGCCATGACCAAGTGCCTGCAAAACTAATAATATTCCCTTCAGGTTTGGTGGTATTTTGTGTTGGCTACTGACAGACTTGCATGCTAAACTATGATGGCTCACATAATACTTGTTACATGTTTGTAGCTACGTAGACCTGCCTGGTTACTCGGCCATGATGGGAACACTGTTTCGCGATCCACAAGAAGGAGAGCCCGGCGTGCAAACCATCCCTCTCACCAAGATCGTCTGTGGACCCTCTGAATCTCAGCTGGTCATGCTACAACTGGAATAGTGTGTACTGACAAAGGGTCCCCGGCACACACACACACACACACACTCAGACATACCATTAGTTTCCCCCTGACTCCCTCTTCTCTCTTTTTGTAGTCCTGCCCAGTTTAATGAGCGTGTCTCGCAGATCTGCCTCCCTCCTGAGCGCTACATTGTGGCTGAGGGGACAACCTGTGAGATCGCAGGATGGGGTGAGACAAAAGGCAAGTGTAATCCTTTAGCTATGATAACTCGCTGCTGAATTCACTACACGCTGCGCTTCATGCAACTACAACATGCTTTCTTTTGCAATAATTAATAATAGATTCCCAGGAACAAGCATCTTGTTTTTGCCCTTGAAGTAATGTTGCCTCTTAATGAGAAAGCTATTCACACCATTGAGCAACAGATGGCATTGCTATTTACAGAACTGTTCAACATCTGTCCACCTTTTATTTCTTTTCCTCCATCTCTCTCAGTTCGCCGCTAACTCCTTCTTCCTTCTCGTTGTTTTTCAAGGGACTGGAGATTCGACCGTACTCAACGTGGCCCACATACCAGTTCTTAGCAACAGGGAATGCAACCAGTACTTCAGAGGTCGTGTTCGTGAGAATGAGATGTGCACAAGCTCGTTCCAGGGTGGAGTAGGTGCCTGTGAGGTAGGTGTCCATGCACAGTACAGTTTCAAAGCTTTAACATAAATTTTGTAGGAAATGATTGTAGTTGTGGGTGAATCACTGACTATTTACTTTTTTTTGTATTTTGACATTTGCCTTTAACAAATATATAGGTAATAGTAAAGACAGGAAACTGAGGGTAAAAAAGAGGTATGATGGGTAATAGAGGTTCTCATCCAGTATAAAACCAGAAACGTTGTTAATATAATGGTGGGCTATACATCCTACATGAAACCAAAACACAGACCATTTTCTCTGATGTATTCTACGTTCGCAATGGCATTAAAGGAATAGTTCAGAATTTGTCTCTTTCTTCCAGATTAGTATATTTCTACCTAAATAAGTGGGTATATGTAGGTTTTTTAATCTTGAGTGAACATGCTAAAAAAAGGCAATCGACCTCTTTTCCAAAGCCAGTAGAGAAGTTTGCCTTTCTGCTTTTTTAAATCTAGTAAGTCACGTTTGACGTCACAAACGTGCCGGAAACTGAGAGATGCTTCTCTCCCTCTTACCAGTGTTGCATCTTGCAAACTACAAAGGAAAACTGCTGTGACTCATTCTCAAGATGAAATACGTTCCCAGGATGTAAAGGACAATATACAGAAACCATTTCATAATGTTGTGCAGAAACATTGCAGCATCAGGGTCTAGACTGTTGAAATAAAGAAGGAGAAATTAGCATGTTCACCCAGATGATTCCATCACTGCAAAACAGCAAAAACAGCACTAATGGCATCAAGGTTGTTTGCTTATATGTGAACTTCAGGTAGGCAGTTAGGTTGTGTTAACTCTGGAGCCACATTTAGTTAGTGTCCCCTCTTTTCAGGCTTCATGCTAAGCTAAGCTAACAGGATGCTGGCCGAAGCTTTATGTTTACTCTACAGACATGAGCATATTATTGATCTTCTCACTGAACTCCCAGCTAACAAATGTTCAACTATTCCTTTAATGACATATGCCAAAATGGGACAAGAATAAGTTTTTTGAATGTTCATGGTGAAGAAAATCTTTTGATGATTAAAATCCCTATAAGCAAAGACTGTGCAGCTATTTATACGTTCCTATAAATCAAACACATCCACCATTTGGCTAATGGAGGTGGACTGGACAAGATGTTTCCAACCTCAGCAGTGACAGTCAGTCATAACAGAGACAAATAATGAGTCCGGAGTGTTGTTCCTGTGCGTCTGCAGAGAGACTACGGCGGCCCTTTGGCGTGTCAAAACAGTGACTGCTGGGTACTCGAGGGTGTGATCATCCCCATGAGGCGCTGCGGACACCGGGGCCAGCCCAACATCTTCATTCGTGTCTCCGTCTACGTTGACTGGATCAAGAAGGTCATGGAGATGGCGTAAGACTCAGATACTGACGTCCAATAAGAAACTTAACCAATCCATTTTCAACCTGGAGCAGTTTTGTTCTGTTGCCCATTTACACTTTTTCTTCTCAGTTATTTCTTTTACAATTAAAACTATAAATAATACATCGAAATGCATCATCACATTTGTTCACATCAGTTTTTCTTTGCATGGGATTTAACTTTAATTATTGTTTTGATAAAAAGTTGTAGAAAACATTGCAGAAAGTCAAGCTCCAAGTAGATTTTTATGTACATTTACATTAAGTTAATTCCTTTAACTAGAGCAAATAACATTAGGTGCATCAGCAGAGTCATTTAAATTCATGAGCTGTCTGTTGTATGCAGCCAAAGATCTGCAAGACAGAACAAACCCAAAACATTTATATTTCAAAAGCACAATCATGTAAGCATGAGGAGTCGAGCAGAGATGATTGAGTATAAAATGTGTCAGAAAAGGCAAAAGAATAAAAACAAAATCAAAAAGCCACTGAGGTGCCTGAGGAGTTAATGTTATGCAGGAAAGAAGTCCATTGTCCAGGCAGGCGTCACATTAAGTGGGCGTTACGTTAAAATTTTTGCAAACAAACAAACCAAACTACCCATACATATTTAATCACCTGGTGCCCAGTACCTTCAAAACAAAAGCATAAACTACCAAAAATAACTAAAATTACAATCATTGTAAAGGCATAATCTGACTAGTTCTATTAAACAAAACAAAGAACTAAATAAACACCATCAAACACAAGAGAAAACAGTAGATAGCTCCAACAAAATGCATGTGAGGTTATTCAAATGTATCTTCATTTCAACAACCCTGATTAAACCGCATGTTAACATTTAAAAAGTGTTTTTACTCACTATATTTGAGCTGCAAGCTCTTTTGCAGTGTACAGTATTTATCAGAAAGCATTGGCTAGGAAAACCTGTTTTCTGTGATTACAATGTTGTTTTACCATATAGTCATTAATGATTTGTTTATACACCAACCTTTACTGATGCGTGCCCACAGCAGGAGTTGCTTTAATACATTACATCTGCTCACAATCAAATTATAGTCTTTAGACAATTTATTAAATGTTTACATGCGGCCCGTAAATGCTTTAATTGCCACATTTTTTTATTTCTTCGCCATAAACGAGAACGATTTGAGGATCAAGACTAATTGTAGCCCCTCAGGTCCAGAGGATAATGACAGGAGCTGATAATAGAGGAGGTGTGCAGGGTTTTCAGAACAATTTTTAAGTCCCTAACATCCCGTAGAAATGCACCCTTTACCACAAAACTGTACGCCTCCCCTCCCTCTCCCTTGGCAGTGAATGGAGCTCCAAAATACCTTCTTTGCCCCCAGCCTCTAAAAGAAATCCCTCCTCTGCCTTGTCTTTTGATGCCTGCCCCCACCTCTAAAGACATGCCTTTGTGCCTTATGCAGAACTGTATGCGCTGCACATTCTTTCTAGTTCTATAGGAGGATTTTTGTAACCCGGTCCTGATGAGCCCACGGAATTCAGCTTAAATAAACCTCAAGATCAGAGTCCAACCGAATCTCAGACACACCAGCCTGCAGAAGGCCACTGAACTCTCTCTCTCTGTCTGACGCACACACATTCGCACAATTTTCTCTAATGCAAACCTCCCACCCCGTTCTCTCTTACTTCCCATTATATTTCTCCCTTTCTTTGTCTTTGTAATTTTCACACTGTCTCTTTTCTTTTGTCGTGAATAAGAAGAAAAGTTTTTGCAGGGATGGGAACTAATAACACCAAAGTGTCCACCATGTTCTCAGCTCATAATGATGGGCTATTATCTCCCTGCGCTTTATGGCATTTGTAAATGACAGTTAATATTTTTAATCATCATTCTGTTCAGCATTTTCATTTAGTAATATTTCTAGTGGATGACTAATCAAATCCATATATGACTGCTTGTTCTCAGCAACGGTTGCACAAAGGCTTCTGGGAAAGGCTGACTGAAATCTTTGTAATAAGTGCAGCTTCAAGAATATGCAAATGTTTTCTTTGTCCTTACCTCAGCCAACGGAGGTTTTGTTTTCACCCCGTGTGTTTCTTTGTTGGTTGTTTGTATTAAAGATAACACACAATAAACAACTAAACAGATTACACAACTTGGTGAAAGGATGTGGTATGAGTCAGGGAAGAAACTATTACATTTTGGTGCAGATCCAGGAATTTTTGTCACTTTTTTGACATGATGGATCATGGTGTTTTAAAACGAAGAAAATAAAATTCAGCCACATTTAGGGAACTGATGTTTGCATGTGTGCAATTTGTTGCAGCTTGAGTGAATTTAAAGGAACATTTATGTTTAAGCATCTTATGGTAATGATTCGAGAAATCATGTAAAGGCTAAAGAAGATAAACACTTTACCTTATGTGTTTGTTTTGTGTTTAAATGTAGTATTCTGGTCTCACATGATATTATTCTGTTCCTGCAAACCATCTAAATGAAACATCTCTCTCTGTAACCTAAAGCTTTATGTTTCTGGTCTGATGCCAGCATGTTCACCTGACATGACTCCACGAACAGTCCCTGGAATGTGTTTTCACCGAGGCTCAAACATTTCCCTCTGTTTGTGCAAACTAAGAAAGGTACTGCTTGAAAATCAAAGATTTAAAAAAATCTACTCTATTCTGAAAATACAACTTGTTCGCTCTAGGATGTGATTTTTTAATAGTTTTATATGTTTTTTTTACAAATAATTTGAAGTAAAATAAGTTTGTTCTTTCTCACTTTTCTATATTCAATGCATGGCTTAATAGACTCGACTGAGGTATTTCTTTGTTAAACAAATACACATTAAGCTGCAGCCTTCCTCATGAGATATTTCTTTTGTTCTGACTTATGTGTGATACACTGTAGGTGGGGAGATAACAGCAGGGACAGTCTGACCTCATCATCATTTCTACCGAAGAAAACTACTTTTTTTCCTCCTCTTCTGTGGAGGGAACTTCCCAGCCTCCCCCCTCCCCCGGACTTTACTTTGGGAACCCCGGAACCAGACTCTACCCTCCTGCTCCTGTCTGCCGATGCCCGTCTCTCTCTGTCCCTCTCTCTCTCTCTCTTTATCTCTCTCTCTCTCTGTCTCTCTCCCTCCTTCTTTTTCCCTCTCTCAAGTGGGTGAGCCTTTCTGGGCGGGGTCCTGTGTCTCACCCCTCCTACCCTCGCTCTGTCTTGAAACATGCTTTAATAGAGAAAGTATGCAATGCATACTGCTCTGCTACAACCCCCCATTATACTGCAACTGGGGTATTCGTGACTGGACGTCTGGGGGGATCACACACATTTCCGATTAGAGGAGGAAGGAGAGAGAGGGGAAGAGAAAGAGAGAGGGAGGGAGAGGGAGAGAGAGATTGTCTTTTCATTGCAGCCAATGAGACGGTGGATATAGAGAGATTTTCAAAGTTGTGCAAAGTGAGTGAACTGAACTTCCAGGTGAAACTGCGAAAGCGACTCGAGGTAAGTTGTGCAGCCGCATTGTGCTGCGTTTGGCGCTGCAGTGCATGAGCAGCATTACTCAACATGGAGCCTATAGCTTCGGTGCATGTATGTATGTAGTGTGTATATGTGTATGTTCGAGCTTCTGCACCTGCGTTGCTCGTCTTTGTCCTTCTCAAAGTTCATCCATGTGTGCGGACCTGCTCTCTCTCAAAACACATTTTCACATCGATTGCGCAAGTGATGGACGCAGTGGGAAGTGGTGAATAGTGTCCAGACCCCCTTTACGCTTTAAAACTCTCGGCGGTGGCCTCGACTGTTTTGCCGTCAACATGTGTCCAGTTGCCTCCAACCGAAGCGCGGAAGAGTCGGGTTCACTGGCCCGCTCCAAGCGCGCATTACGCACCGTCCTCACAGGCTGTAAAAGACGTGTGTGTCTTCGGTTGCAATTGCCGCCCATCTATACGTAGAAAGTACATTCAGTCCCGTAGCCGACTGGCAAACACAAGACTGGAGTCGAGCGGACAGTCCTGTGCTGCAGGAGGAGCCGGAGGAGGAGTGCGGGACGTTTGTTGTGTTGGTCCAAAAACACTTTGGAAGCGACGTCGTGCGTCTCGTTTGGCTTTAAATCGTAAAACGAGGACGCAGATTTGTCAGATTACCGAGACTTCCTGCTCCAGCGAGGCCGTGTTTGATGGGCTGTGTTGGCAATTAGTGTTTGGCACATTCCTCTCAGAGCCGAGGCGTCATGGTGAACGGCCACCTCGGGACACAACGGAGAGAGAGGAGCCTCACACATCTGTCGTTCAAATTCTTCATCCAAAGTTAACGAGATGTCACTTTAAAAGAAGTTTCAATAGCAAAATGACAGAGGTTACATTGTTTACATTGGTGGAACTTTAGATCATACTGTTATGACTTCAGTGGAATGTTGAAGTAACATTGAGCCATCTGATTCCACCAACAAATATGAATCATTTATTATCAACTTGTTGATTAATTGATTAATCACCATTTTCCAGGCAAAATTACCAACTATTCCCTTGTGGGACATTCTCAACTCTGAAGAATTGACTGTCTTTCTTTGTCTCATGTGAGAGTAAACTCGGTTTTTCTCCAGTTGTTCAGACAAAAGAAGCATTTTGAAGACATCACTTTTGGCATCTGAGGTGCATTTTTCTCCATTTTCTGAATTTTTTTCCATTACTATTTTCTAAAATCCTTTAGGGAACTTTTGACATATACAATCATCATATGTAATTATAATCACGTATGAAATGTCAAAAAGTGCTGAAAATTGTCCAAAACCTGTTCTGTTTCCTGTCTCACAGAACTCATTAAAAGATGCAAATCTTTAAAATGTAATTAATCAATCATCAGTTGCAAATTAATTCTGTGTCATTTGATTGGGCTAATCAATAAATTGTTGCAGCTCTTAAGTGAACTTTAGTCTGCTAACTCACATTTCTCCACCAGTTGTCTTATTCTAGAGACTCTTTCCATGAAGATGTACTTGTACTAGTTTTATTGTCTCAGTGGGGTGTGTTTTACTCTAATACTGTAACTATGTAATAGATGTCACAGCATCAGCACACCTACCACATGCAGTGAGAAATACCTCACTGAGAGCAGATGGAAAAGCAACGCAGAGCGTGGATGCAGGTTTTGGATAGTAGATTAAGTTGTGAATATCTGTGCTACTTTTAGTCGCTGCACACCACTCTCATGTTTCCCTGCATCTGCCAGAGCCCCGTCTGTGTTCCGATGAACCAGGTGCCAAGGCTTATGTATGAGCAGTTCCCACGCTTGCTCTTGGAAAGGAGTCTTGCGTGGATCTGATGTATCAAGCACTCATTCAAATTCACCACGCTAATTGTGCAAAAAGAAGAATATTTGAAGTGGCAGTGTTGAACTGATTTATTGTCTTTTTTTCCAGCTCCTGATACTCAGCTCTTCTCCTCTTGAAGCCCTCGAGGCCGCTCCTCCAGGCTTTGATGCCCACACTCTTAAGAGCAGGTGGACAGACACAGGCATGAGTGACAGTGGGACCAAAGAGCCGTCTCCCCCGCCGAGCACTGACCAGTCACCTCCTGATCCTCCGCGCAGGGGGAGGGGTCGGCCGAGGAAACAGCAGCAGGTAGGACTTCAGTCTCTAAAAGATGAATCTGAGCACCTCTGAGTGACTAGTTGACTTAATGACTATGGCTGCTACTGTTTTATGTTTTTTTACTGGTTATGGCTTCAAATCCAATCTCTGTCTTTACAGGAGCCCGTTGGGCCCCCGACTCCAAAGCGACCGAGAGGGCGTCCGAAAGGCAGCAAGAACAAAGGCCCCAAAACTGCACCCAAGGTTCAACTGACCAGTTTACCTGTGGCACTGAATATTTATTTCAACTTTAATTTTTCTACTGACAACAGAACATCTGTATTATATTGTAATACAACCAACACTGCAATTCAACATTTTAACGGTTAAAGTTCATATTTGAGGGGGGTCAAGTTGTTGTGCTGCCCCTGCTGGCAGCTTTCCATTCAGATCAGATGATTGGCTGAAGCTGCTCCTGATTTACAACATGTTGAAGATGAACAGAATAACTATGTAGATCAACTGGTCTTTTTATACACGTGGAAAAACGACCATGCCAATCGTTTGTTTTGTTGGCAGAGACACAGAGGGGACTCACTGTGGGTGGTTTTGTAATCAGTAGCTCTCGAAGAACAAGTGACTGAACCTGCTAAACTTGTTGCTGTAACGTATTTCCTGTATGAATCTGCAATTACAAACGTTACTCACACAAATCCATTGTTTGAGTTTTCAGAATTGAGAAAACTGAACACAACAGAGGGATTAAAAAAAGCAAGCTATGCCACAAATATGTGGACTTAAATATTGATGTATTATTGTTTTGCTGTTTAAATCATTTTACTGTGGCTGTGAGAATTCATCATTTATGATCAGATAAGCAGAAGATAGAAGTTGATTCATATACAGGATCTTGAACATATTGATATATCAGAGGATGATTTGGAATGGAGACGTTTGTTTATGACATAAAACAGTAGTTCTGCTGCAGGACACGCAACCACGTGCTTGTAAATTCAAGTCTAAACATTTCCAAATAACTTAACTAACTAACAAACCACGTTTATCTCCTGTGAGGAATGTTCCCAGCTGACTTACAGAATCGATAGCTGTTTGTCTGGAGTTACAGTCTGAAAAGCTACCGTTAAATGAATGAATGGAAACTGTTTGATGATATGATTGTTAAAATATGAATCTATATTTAACCAGTCATCCGTTCTCCCTCAGAAAGTAGATCCTGTTGGGGAGAGACGACCACGTGGGCGACCCAGGAAATGGGTATGGAGCGATCACTGACACTTCCACACTGTACATCAACCCTAACTGTAGATATATTATATATGTCGGAGTGCTTCACTAATGTTCAATCCATTTCTCTCCACAGCCTCAGAAGGTAGTTCAAGAAGTACCTAAAGAGCAGCAGGTGAGGAAAATGAAATCTGGTGGTTTGGTTTGGTTTTTCCAATAATATTTTTTTGATTTATTTGAAATTATTGTTAAAAGGTCTGTGTTTAAAAGAAGCTTACGTTATTTTATCTTATTCTCTGTGATGTTTAGTGAAACACTTAACTTTAGGAGCCATGTTGAAATGAAGTTTATCACAAATGACTCCTGGTCTAAAAAAACTTTTCCACTTTTCATTCATTTAAATCCTTCACACTTTTTAAGGTTTTAAATGATCTTTTAAATTGAGATCAGACTGAAGTCACGGTGACACTTTGTGACTGTTGACTGTTGCAGCCTTTATCTCAGTTCAACAGAAATCCCATTTTGTGTCACATTTACCTGTTGACTCAGATTATTACATGTATGACTTGTAAATGAAAGTTAGTCTCTTTTAACTCTTCGTGGACACCATGAGCTTGTGTTAAGTCCACAGTTTATGTTCAGCATCATAAGCTACATTCAAAAGCCCTTTGTTCACATGATAGTGAGGCTGCAGCCAACAAACAGTGTCTTTCATGGTTCCAGCTGGACCACTGCACACCCGGCTGCCACCGATGTGTGACAAAATAGTATTAGAAAAAGCTCCTAATGCATGGTGATATGATTTATTTCAGAATTACTTCAGAAGAAACATAAGAAGAGAGAGAGAATGATAGTATACAGCCTTTTGTCACTATTTATGTTTTTTTTATATAATCTAGTGTAGATTAATGCAAAACCCTACTAGTCTGAATCTTTCTGGTATCTGCTTTCTCCAAAACGTCTCTGCTGTCAACAGAGAGAGATAAAGAAAAAGCATCTTTCCTTGGGTTATCAGGGTGGAGGCACAGTTTCCTCAGGAAAATCAAATAATCTGGATTTTAGGCATTAAGATTTTTTAAATATATCAAAATACTTCACACTGGGTCTTAAATATGTTAAAGAAGGTCTTAATTATGTAAACATTTAACATTACTTCCATCTAGATTTTTCAAGAGAATTTTTTTTGGTGGCATGCATAGTTTGTAGTCTACAAACACCACAGTCAGAATTGATCTCAGTACACTCGGCTTGTCTGTATAGGAAAGACTTTGGACACCCCCTCTCTTGCTGTAGTTTGCAGGATAACATTGTGTTTTCGAGGGTTTATTCTCTTCTAGGCTTCATCACCTTATCTTCAATTATAGGAAGGTGTAAGTAATTCTCTGATATTCCTTAATATCTGTCTAAACTTTGGACTAATTTATTTTGGTCCAAAATTTAATTTAAATTGAACTTTTCGAAATCTGTAGAAACCGTGGGAGGACTCTGACCTCTGTATATATCCCTGGCCTTGTCTAACACACTGTCCCTGTTAAAATTTCAAACATATTTTAATTTTCTAGCTTGCATTTATTTACTCGATATAAATTTTTTCTGTTTGTATCCACAATAGACTTAGTACTTGTGAGTATGATTCCTCTTTTGAGACTGAGCACAGTATCAAACAAATACAGTGTAGACTTGCAAACATTGCTGTTGCTTTGGCATACTGACTGTAAATAACAAACAACCAGTGCACACGTTCTTTGGGCTTTTATATAAACTGGCTTCATGAGGTTGTGACATATTCTTGGAAATACATACATTGTTGAATTCCTCAGCCACCTCCTATCATCCTTTTGTTACATCCAGCTTTGGTGTATATGTTCACACAGTGTTTCTCCGAAATTTTAGTTCTTTCAGGCGTCTTGTTCAAACATTGCACAACATGTGTCACCAAGGCGGACCGGCTCTGTCGATGCCCCTCATCTGCCTTATCGCATCCTCCCCACAGAGCAGTTTGTCAAAGGGGTTGTGATGCTTCAAGAACTGAAACTGTTGAGACAGACTCCCTCTCTCAGACACATGCACGCGAAGGGGAAGAATGAGTCAATGTAGAGAGGGGAAACCTGATCTAACTGTTCTCTTACTCTGTCTTCTCGGTTTCCTGACATAACCGTCGTCTTCCTCACATTTCTACGACTGACAGCTGGATCTACTTCCCCGCACGCAATCACTCAATGAAATTCTTACACTCATTCTTGTATCCGCATGTGATTCATGACCTTGTGCATATTGACTCACTGTAACTGTAAGAGATCAGACAATAACAGAAAGAAAAGGTTTTGGTCCCTTTTTAAATGGAACTGGCACAAAATGCATAACAGACATGATGCAATAAAACCTGGTGAGACTTCTGAGATCTCTGGTAGTGATCTGCTAGTGGTACCCAGGGTTTAACAAGCAGAAGCAGCCTTTAGTCATTATGCAGCACAGCACTGGATGATCTGCCCCGATCCAAAGCAGCTTTTAAATCCAGATCGAAAACTTTTATTCACTTTTACCAGTTTACAAAATCTAAAGTCATACCATCATTTTATTTTATTTTATGTATTTGATGCCTTTCACTTGTTTTTAAAACTCTATACAGATTTATCTTACCTCTTTTAATATTTTTATGTCTTTTTTCTGCCCTTTTACAATCTTATTTTTTTTCCAAACGGTGTATTTTAACTTTAAATCAATTTCTTTTATACTTGTCTCTGTGTAGTTTTTAATGTCCCTGTACAGCACCTTGAATAAACCTCTGTGTATGAGATATGCTTGATAAATAAAACTGCCTTGTTGTTGTTCCAGGGCCCTTCAGAGGATGCAGAGGAGGGCCCTTCGCAGCGCTCGTCATCTCAGGTTACGGCACAGAAGGAAGGGGAGTAGACAGGTCACCTCTCGACCTACCTCAAGGTTTGGCCTCAAACAAACAGGGGTACCATGTGACTCCTATCTGTGATGGGGATTCAGGAACACACACACATACACATACATATACACAATCACACACAATCATTGCAGACAGTAGTTTCTTCTCAATAGGAGCAATCTACCCTGGATTTGTTGGTTTGGTGTTTTAACATTGAAGAATTTAATTGGAAAGGGCTTTTATTAATGTCTTATGTTGTAGTTCTCACATTTTGGGAAATACGCTTCACCATTCTGCAGGAAAACAAAACGTTTCTCAAACTAAGTGTACTTCCCAACTCGTTTGACTATTCCTTTTTAAGTATGCCTAGCTTTCCCGAGCCTCTCAGCCTGCATGCATGTGTGTGTGTGTGTGTGTGTGTTTGTGTTTGTGTTTGTGGAGAGAGGGTGACAGGTTTGCAGGCTAACAAGTGCGGGAGGGTTATGGAGAAAAAAAAGGAGCCAAACTGAACCTTTTTGTTAAAAACGTGTTTCTGACTGGAGCGCCTTGAATCCTTGTGTGAAATGGGAGCAAGGTGGTGACATTTTTGATAATGTTACAGTATGAACATGTGCGCTGAAGTCATTATTATAAAAGTAGATGTGAAAGGTTTTCATTCTGAAATTAAATGTCCAACTTTGGAGGGAGAAAATGTCAAAGTAAGCAAAGTATTCAGATCTTTAATAACCTCAGTGAAATGCATGTCTTTCCTCCCAACCAGCAGCTAATGTAAGAAAAGAGAAAATACCCAAAGTTTTAAATGGATATCTCATTTTTGAACAACCTTTCGTGTTTGCTTGAGTCAACAGCAGTGTTGACGCATCATTTTACCACACTCAGGATTTCACTTTTACAGTGCTTATACACCATATTGAAAACCTCAGGTACAAAACTATTCAGGAACATGTCGTCAGTCTACTCAGTAATAATTATTGTGCTGTGTTTGTTGTGCATTTCTGATCTGTATTTGACATTACCAGTATGCCTTGACACAAAGACCTCGTTCAAACCTCAGTTACACTCAGTTTCTTAATATCTCATTCTACCTCAGCAACACAAAATCACAGAGGATCTCCAGCATAGTCATTCTCCATTCCCTCGGCAGTGACACACAAACACGCACACACACACACACAAACACACACACACAAGCTGGTTCATGTGCAGATACACCACATAGGCAGACAAAGGGTTTTCAGGGCTATACTCAAACATACACACAGGGATAGGCCTGGGTGATATGGCCAAAAATGATATCAAGATAAAAAGTTTCATATGAGTCCATATTGATAATTATCATGATAATCATTGATATTGTTTAATCACCCAGCCCTACATAGGCGTTACACTGCAACAGGTGATTTTACTCTCCGTGTATAAATATAAAGCATCAGTGTCAATTCTTTTAAAAATGGTACTTTTAAAGATGGTGTGAGACTCGGTTTGGTCTCCTGGGAAATAAAATGCAGCCAATAGTTTACAACAACTTGATGAAATACTTGTAGTTCTGTATGAAATACTTGTAGTTCTGTATGAAATACTTGTAGTTCTGTATGAAATACTTGCTTTTTTGTTTCTTTGTTTGTTTGTTTTCTGGGTCTGATACTCTGATATTTCAGTTTAACTACATCATGTATTCTCATACACTGTAACTTGTATGCGTGACACTCTATAATTCACGTGATTTGGAAGGAAGGGCAGGAAGTAAACCACGCTGACCTTGTATGAAAACAGCTTGAAATGAAAGGAATTCTGGGTAGTTAATCAATATTCAGTAATGCATCAGGAACCCTGTCTTTGAATGAATGACTTTTTACAAAAAAAAATGGACCCAAGTTGTACCTTACTTTCTAATCTGGCTATTAAAACAAGACCATAACTTTAGTTAAACAGCTACAACTGTGGTCAGTGTGACAGTGATTGTTTAATGCTAAATGCTAACATATGATTTTACAGGAGCAGATGTGTTTCAAACAGCTTTGGGTGCCATAGGCAAAGGGGACCTAGAGGGCCCTACACAATTGTCATTGCTGCGGACTAATGTTCTCAGCTGTTCTTAGGGGCCTCATGTCAGTGTGGGATCCCCGGAATAGTCTGCTTTGTGTACCCTGTTGCAACGCCCCTGTGCAATAGCACAAGTAGAATGTAATGCGCTAACAGCTACCAAAAGTCACTGGTCTTACTATAACAAGTGATGATGCAGCAGAAATAATATTGGATTGAAGATATGTCTTATTGCTTGTGTTTTATTGCTTATTAATTCAAAATATTTCTTATTAGTTCAATATTTCATTTGTGGGTTTGTGGTATTTTTAAAGTTATTGCCTTGCTTTTAAAGGGGAGCTCACCCAATTTAGAGAGAACACAGTGGTATCCAAACATGCAAGTAGCATATTTTTTCAAGTTTTAACATATCTGCTTTTTAGATGTCTTGTCATGGCCCTAAAAAATAGAAATGTGTTCATGGTCACACTGATGTAAAACATTTAATTTAATTTGGGAAAACCATTTACTGTCTATAAAGACAAAGGACGCATCTCCACTCCCCCCTACCTTCCCAAAATGAAGCCAAAGCTAAATCTATCCGGCGCATTTAAAGCCTGAGTCAGCGCAGTAGTTATCAGGGAACGGAGCCGCTGTAGCTCATACACTCCCTTGACCATTCGTGAGTCAGTCTCAGCTGTCACCCAGTTTTTATAGCATCAAATAAAAAAATAAAACCAAACTTACTGGAAAAATGAACAAACATCTGTGTGGGAACAATCTAAAATGACAGCAACCATCCTTGAGATAAGGTTGTTCGATGTAAACTTTGACTTCTTAGTTTGGTCCATAGCCCACTGACATGAAGGAGAGTTTATGCCACACTCCAGGCAGCCACCAGGGGGCGATCGAGATGCTTTGGCTTCACTTTTGCCGAGTAGTCTGTCATCCATCTTTATATACAGTCTATGGAAAGAACCCACACTTAAAGGTGAACTAATTACAAAAAGTAGTACATTTAATGTGTATTGAATAGTAACAATTTAGTATAGCGACTGAACAACTAGTCATATATTAATACTGGTGTTGTGGAGATTTTTACATAGATAACCAAATGTTTTTTAAATTTTTTTTAACAAAGAGGTCGACCAGCCTCTCGTCTGTTTTAAAAAAAAAAAGAAGTGATTGAGACTTTGTTGGTCAAATGCAAACACTTCAACTTCATTAAATTGTGTCCAGTGTCATCATGGGAGGAGGTTATCCCGCATGGACAACATATCACTTACTAGTTATGACGTGACTTGAATATCACCCTTCATTTACTGTAAATATTAAGTGTTTATTCACTAAAACTCACTTATGTTATCACTGATGATATGTTGTATCCCAATAATTGTATGTATTTCAGCATTGTTTACTAAGTTGCTGCCAGAAGAACTCGGTTCAGTTACAGACTCTGTATGTTTTCTCGTTCAACTGCATTGACTTTACATTTTTTTTGTTTGTTTGCCCTCTGGACTACCTCTGAAAACAAACACGCCTGGGTCGTCTCTGAGGAAATGTTTCCATCAGAGCTGCAGGTGACGTGGATGAAATCTTGAACTAACTCTTAAACTAGTGCTGTCGTAGTCCACTTATCTCATCTCTCTACATTCATGTCACCATGTGAATGGAAGTCAGCCTGAAGGGTGCCTCTTCATTTGAATTACAGCTAAGTCAATGTCTGTTATTTTACACAAGCTGTGTTTGGATATTACAACAAAGTATTAGGGCCATTTACAGGGAAGATGTCTGAGAATAAAACCATAGCATTATGAGAATAAAGTCATAGTATTAAAAGAATAAAGTCATAATAGTCATAAGAGGAATATCAAAAGATATTGACTTGTGTTTAAATGAGAAAAGAAATAATGATAATGGGTATCAAGGAGTGGAACTCTGCCCAGCAACATCCTCACTTTTTTGCATTTGATTACAACTTAATTCTTGAAATATTGTGACTTTTTTTGTCTCATTAAATTTCAAGTTTATTCTTGAATAATTATCCCTTTTTTCTCATTAACTTTGACTTTATTCTCGTAATATTATGACTTAATCACAAAATCTTTCTTCGAATTGGCTTTAATACTTTGTCGGTGGATATTTACACTCGATATAGGGACAATGTTTTATGTGATCTCACTGATAGTGATATAGTTACATACAGTACTTGATCCATTTTCAACTATTGAAGGTTGAAGTGTAACTTGAGAAATCATATTGTATTCCTTACTTTTAACATCAATTTTGTAGTAATATTATTGATGTGTCCTCATCCACTTCTTTAATTGAACTCACAAACCTGTGATATATATATTTTGTTATGATTCTTTACCATGTGATTTATGTTATTCTGCTTCTTTATCGCTTACCAATAAAATATCACACCTACCGACTCCTCTGTCACGGATTTGTGTAACGAAAACACTATTTTGTCTGATTGGTTTAAATAGTTTTAATGCAGTCCTTCATTGCTCATTAAAGATGAAACAAAATGGAGAGGGGCAGTTCACTCAGGGGATGGTGACACAACTAGCGTTCAAGCTTGTCAGAGATGTAAGACCACGAAATCAGAATAGCACAAATATACACTCCTCTCACATCAAACATGGAAAAAGATATCGAAGCTCTGAAGAACTTCACTGACGAGCTACCAAACATTTCAACAACAGTGACACAACAAGAATTTAGGAAAAGTGCATCACACTGCGTTTGTGTGCCAAATGGAAACAGTGCAAGATCACATGTGATGCTTCCCTTTTACGCTGCCTTACATACATACATGCACCCGACATTATCTGCTCTCTTTTCAATCAACTGGAAACCCCTTCACCATTTCACATACAAAGTCATAGTGATTAAAAATGTTCCCCAAAGCTCCAGTTGTTCCCATAAAAACAGTCCAGTATTTCCCTCTGTTTTCCCTCCTGAGCGACAGTCTGTATTTCAATGAGGCCGGCAGTGGGCCCCGAAAACACTGAAACAAACTAATGGAAGAGAGCTGTCAAGCGTTGAGAGCTTTGGCTACATCTGTGAAAACCAGACGACTGGGCCTCTGCGTGGTCCCCTGGGAGGTTGTGAGAGTCTGCGGAGGAGATGGGCATCGGGACAGATGAGAGATAAAGCTGTTAGTGATGTTAACTTGGTGACAGCAGCCTTGAACTGTCAGAAAAAAACAGCAATAGCTTGTCCTTGTGTAACATGACCATGTAAAATCATTATTATTATTAGTGACTATATGTCAGGATGTACAAAGGGACGACTGAAATCAGAGGGTTTTTTTTAGAACCAGAGGCCACGTGCATAAAACAGCAAATGTAAAAATATTCAGCATATTAGTAGAGTGTTTAAAAATGACACCGTGATGCTAGTTGGGTGATTATTGATCGCCGTGCGGATGCTGTGGAGTCGGACACATTGTTCCATAGCGCAATGCAATCAGACATAGGGGGTTTGATGCTACAAAAACTTCATAAGGTCCATTAACTAGCCTCTTCCATACCTTTTGACCATGTCAGGTTCTCATCAATGAATTGAGTTTGCTGGGTTGTAATGGATTAGGTTCAGTTGTCATCACACATGAGATGCAGTTTAAAGATTTGGAAGAAGCTTGTGAGTGGACCATGACCTTCCTGTCAACATGAATTTTCACACTCAAAGAAATGTAGATTTTCTTTTATATCAATTGTCTACTGTTAGAAAACAAATAAAAGTGAATATAAAAAAAAGAATCTCCAGTTCTAGTGTACCGATGTAATGTGTTGTGGCATTCGATTCTTTGAAAATAAAGCTTGGACTCAAGCACTGGTTATACATGTGGCCCCTTAAATATTGAATGTGTAGATATTACATTGAGGGGTCACAAAGGAAAATGATAAAAACTGATGAAAGATAATGATTTTAATGTATGTTCACTGTGAGAATTTACCTTAAAACAGATTAGTTCATATAAAAACAGGATTTAGTTACAAGTTAATCTACAAGTTTTTGTTTGAGTTACAGAAATAATGATGTTCTGAAAGAATGAGGATTGTGGAGGGAAAAATAGGTTTAGAAAGATGGTTCAAAAGACACTCAGGCCATACTTTACCATGTTTGTCTTTTACCGTTACGCCTTCGTCAAAACTTAAGATAAAAAAAAAATAAGGTAAACAAAAAATGATGAATTATGATGAGGGGGAAAAAAATTACAAGAACCTAGATTAATTTCAACGATGTAGATTATTTGATAAATGGCCTAAATAAAGGATCAATATACTTTAATACTATACAGCAAAAAAAGAGGGTTTGTCAAAAACACACTATGTGTAAAATGTACAGATAAACATGATTAAATATATCTAACACAGTAAACAACCACTTGTTGCCCACACAACTTGGGCATCAGATTATATTAGAGAAATGTGACTTCACCATTTCACACTTTAAAAACTTTATGTTGGCAATAGGAAAACAAATTTGAAACAAGAGCTCACAATTTTCCATTTATGTCTATTTAGGAATGAGGAAAATAAAATATGACTATCATGACTTTTTTGTCATTCGGCCATTTACCACCTACGATTTGTGAATGGGTCAGGGTAGATAAATGGTCATGTGAGAATACCAAACACTTTCTGGCTTACCTTGGCGTTGGGACCTGTGAGGCTGCCTTCCCGCCCGTGGTCCAGTAGCTCTTGTTCCAGCAGATCATCTTGTTCCTCAGCAGGATCAAAGTTGTACATGGGCATGAGCTGGTGCCTCAGCTTCTCCAGCCTGCAGGATGAGGCAGAGATTAGAGCTGAGGACCAATGTGGTTAAAGATTTGATGTTGTGCCCTGACTAACCTCTGGCCTACTTAGTTGAGGTTACCTTAATACTACCAGCAGTCATGTGGGGGAGCAATGCTTAACGTGAGTTAGTTTATATGTGACACAAGGACACAATATACAGGAAATTAATACAGAGTTTTAAAATACATTTTGATATAAGTCTCCTCTAAGTGGCAAGAAAATGATCTAACACTAATATAAGATGTAGCCTATTTCCGCAGTGTAATATGTAAATACTGTAAATAAATCGTCAAATAATAAAATAATTAACCAATTAACAAGCACTTAATTTAGAGATTATTGAGTCATGGTTGTTGGATCAGCAAATAAACTAATATAAACTTACCGCTTCCTTTTACGGATATACAGCAACTAGAATGGAGAGATACATAAAAGAATGAGATATAGATATAATAGATATACAGAAAAAGAGAAAGAAGTGATGTTATACAAACTAGTAAATGAAGAGAATCATTTTCTTGGAGAAATATTTCAATGATTCCTTACTATTGCCACTGCTAAGCCAATGACAGTGATGATGCCAAAGGGCACAAGAACCATTCCCATTCCCGAGCCCTCAATCACCACCTCTGGAAACGTGGTGGCATTGAAGCTGGTCTCGTTTGTCGTTATAGTAAGAGTCATTAACGTAGTTCTGGAGGTGATATTGTCTTTGGCGCTCGTGCCCATTGAGAGGAAGGGGATTGTGGTGGTCTTGGCAGATGTGGAGAAAAAGCTCGTAGTTGTCTTAGCTGCGGTTAAAGCCATGTTCAAGTGTTACGGTTTTCACAGCGCGGTGTACTTATATGGAAGTTGTGATGTCGCTTAGTCTCTAGAGTGTCTCATGGTCAATGTAGACGTCCTCCCTCTGGTCTGGGGTCTGCTGAGCCATCGGTGAACTAAAACAAAGAGGAAAGACAGTGTGGGATTAATAATACAGGGGTATCTGTCTGTTTGTTGGTTTGTGAACAAGATTATACAAAAACAACTGAACATATTTCAACGAAACTTGGTGGAAGGATGTGTTAATGCGTTTGGGCAAAATCATTTAATTTTGGTGTGGATCTGGATCAGGAGATGGATTCAAATATCAATGACATCTGATTTACTAGGTTGTACTTTTTAGATCTTGATTAAAAAAACCTCCAGCATATTTAGGGATCTAATATCTATGAGTGTGTAAAATTTGGTTTGGCTTGAATTTAAGGGGGACTGTTGGGATTTGTGTTCTACTGATGATCATCTCTGTTTTCTGTCTCCACCGCAATAATTTGCTTTGCTAAAGAAATCGAGCATTTCAGTTTTAACCCATCCCAACTTCGATTTCATTCAAACCATAGCTGACATGACTGGCTTGTGGTAGGTGTTTTGGGGCAGGATGTGGGCAGCAGAGGCACATGAGGAAACCTGATAAATTACAGAGGAATACTAACCACTCCAACTGTAACGTGCACAGTGAGGAAATGTGTCTGTGGTGCGTTCAAACGACAGAATCAAACAAAAACCCACCCACATACACACAGCCCCACACACAGGTTCCAAAAATATCCACTGCATCCAAGACTCGTACATGTGCCTGCCACCCACCCACTCACACACACACACACACACACACACACACACACACACACACTGTACCCATGAGAGTGAATTTATCTTGGAGATGTAGCCTACGTGTACGAGGAGTTTATGTTTTCTATTTTAAAGCAGTGTGATATTGCGTCACAGTAAGGCAGTGGAAATAGACATATGATCCATTCATTCCTCTCTCCTTAGTGCATCCTGCCTGCTTGTTCCTCTTAATGAGGAACATGTGAAGCTGAAGCAGACACCCAATGAAAACCAGAGGTTGGAGTCAGTCTATTGCTGTTGTTTGGTTGACGATCCCTGCTCTGCACAAAGCCTGCAACATTTCTAAATATCTAAATCAGTTAATACTCCTCTCATTACTGTGATACATATCATGTTATATTTAGTCAAGATGGACTGTATCTCAGCTGTCCTGCACAAACAGCTGAGCCACTAATCCTGCCAACGTGACCAGGTCCCACTCCATGTGTCTTCTCAGATTAGCGATGCAGACGTACCTTAACGTGTATCATGCATAAGGTTCAGAGGTGAGCTGCAGCAGGCTGGGGCCAGCAAGAGGAGAAAATGTTCATTGGAAGAGGCAGCATTTCCTTCAGTGTCTGCCCCTCCTCCTCTTCCTCTTCTGCTTCCCCCCCTTTAGCAATGCAGGTCCTGCACAGGCTGTTTACATTGACAAAACAGCCATTTTCTCCAAAGATGAACTCCACACACTGAAGTAACCCTACCCCAGCAGGCTCCACGAGATCCCCTTTCTGTTCTCCACTGGCCTCCAAGGATCTATTACCCCCGTCCTGCCCTTTCTTGTATTTCACAGCACAGAGGCTGCTGCAGGGATGCTGCAAGCAGAGCTCAGTGCGGCAAGCTCCCTCCCCCCATCACCCTGCAATTGGTCTGATGGCTTCAGTATGACAGAGGCGGTTGGCTCCCTGAGCTGTCTATCTGGTTTTGCAGGGATGAGAATGGGATTTAATGGCCCTGCACACCAGATGCTGTCAGACCCATGTGAATGACTGCATCCGGGTGGTAGGTCTGAGGATATTAACCCTGTGATGTCTTTTCTCTGACCCTCAATGAACAGAATTAACTCAGAAACACACAAAAACAAAAGAAATGTGACCAACCAAACCCTTTTAACTTTATTTGTTTATTCTCACAATAATTTGGGATCTGTGATTTACCATTAGAACTACTAGAAATATGAAGCACACAAAGAATGACAGTCTTCTTGTTTTACAATCAAGTGTCACCTGAACAAAAACAGAGAACTGCTGCAGAGAAGAGGCATTGGGTTCTCTTGTTGAGTCTTCAGCTCATTTTAAACAGGTCCCCGGTCATCATGGCCACAAATTCTGAAAGAGTTCAAATTATAAATAAATTAAAATAGTGATTTGGGACATTTTCAACAAAACTTTAAATAATAGATTAAATCCATTTTTCAACTGAAGCAGAGTGGTTGGATCTAACTTTACGTGATGTGGATATAAAACATACCTTCATAATCAATGGTTCCATCTCTGTCCTTATCAGCTTCCTTCATCATCTGCTCCGCTTCGATCTCATTAAGTGGCTCCCCTGCGTTCATCAGTACATATCTGGGAATGAAACATGATAGAAAATGATTATGAACACTTTGCTGAACATGGGCATGTTCTTATGTTTCTGTTCAATCAAAATAAGTATAATAATTAAATAATTAATAATTTAGTGTACAGTTGGAAAATATAAGAGCTGAAAAACTTCTACTCCTTTCTTTTTATTACAAATGTTTTCCTTACTTGAGTGTGTTCCAGTCAATATATCCCTTTGCCTCTTTATCAAACACTTTAAAAGCAGCTCTGAGTTCAGCGTCCTGGTTCTTGGTTCTTTGGTGGTAAAGTGCCATAAGACCCAGGAAACTGTCACAGTTAAAAATCCCTTTACCTGAAATGTCACAAAAAAATGTTGTTAGCTTGGGAGAAGACAGATATATATAAGAATACCTATACTCTATATGCTGAGAAAAACAATAAGAAATACATTTGAGATTGGGTATTCTCTGCATATTGTAAGACATGTTTCATATGAAATGTTAAGTTGTAAATTTGAATTAGAAAAGAATGGAAATCAAATTTTAATTTAACAAGTAGATTAAACAATTTACTTCATATAAAGTGTATAAGTATATACCCTGGTCTTAAACTGGAGAAAGAAGCCTCTGTCCTATTGCAGGATATGAGCTTTAATCCTTACATGAATTTCAATGACTGTATAATATTGTATTCAGATGATCACTGTGCCAATATTCCTTTTATAATATGAACCCACCCTGCATGCATCACATAGGGAAACACTGCCACCTAGTGATACATGTGGGTAACTTCAGTAAACAGAATGCTGCAGTATTAGATAATAATATGATTTTCATAATACATTTTTTGGAGATGATATTCCCTTTGACAATTTTCACTTGGGTCCCTTTACACCTGCCTTTAATTACAGCTAAAAGTCCAGACCTGACGAGCTGCAAAGAGTAAATTCAAATATGTTAAAGATACATTTATCTTGACCTTATCAGAATAACCAAATTATTTTATTTACATTCTAGCTTTTAAGGTAAGGTGATAGCCTAGAAAACCTAGTAAACACTTTAATTTCTTACTTGTTTCAGGCTGAACTTTAGACAGATGAAGCTGCAACTAACATCCTGACCTCCAGATGCAGATCAAACAACATGAAAGGCACTTAGCTTGAAGGCATTTTAAAGCAGTTGCTCAAGTATGAAAATAGCTTCATCTTACAATACAGTTAAAACACCACTGCTGAATCATCAGCAGAAAAAGACCAATCTAAGAAAAACCGTGTGCTTTCGGCTGAATGTATTATGTACAATGATTGTCATTTTCATGTGGGGTTTACAGCCATTGAAGCAGATATTCACCATCCTTGTCCACGTCTTTGGCCATCTGACGGAGCTCCCTCTTCGTAGGATTGATCCCCACTAAACTCATCAGTCTCTCCAGCTCCTGCGTCTTCACGTCTCCGTTCCCCTCCTCATCGAACATCTCGAAAACTCCTTTATACTCTGCAATCTGCTCTTGTGTCAGCTTGGTGGCCTGGAAGGAAATAATAGAGCTGCAGTATTTCACATTAGATGTTTGTAAGAATTTTTCAAAGAAGGTTCAATGTTTTTGGATTAACTACAAATTTAATGATGAATAATTAGAACTCACCATTTCTCCTGGTAGCACAAACACGGCTGAGGACAAGCTCTGTGACAACAGTTACTGCAGAATGAGTGACAGTCTTTAAGCCTAATCATCTCTACTCCTCTAATGTCTTTTCCCCCGAGTTACCAAACGCCTGCTTCAGGACCTTTTATGGCGCCGAGAGGATGGACTTGCTAATCATGGATGAGGAAAATTTGGATGCTGTTCTCAACCAACACAAATTGTCAAAAGTAAACTTATAATGGGTTAAAATAGCATTTAATAGAAAGGATTAAAGACAAAATATCAAAACTATGTCAATGATCAGACATGTTTTCTGTGACCTCACCATCACATGTTCTGCTCACGGGACCTGCAATTAGCTTCCTGCTAGCCATTAGCCATTAGCAAGTGTTTGGGTGTCCCGCAGTGACTCTCATGAAAGCAGGCAACCAAAAAAGGAGGTGCTTAACTACAAGAAGTTATTCTCAACACCGCAATGGGAACATTGAGAATTTCACATTTGTTGTCCGAGGGGAAGAGGCATGACTCTCCCTGTGCCATATGCAGAGTTTGAAGGGAGATACCAAGTAAGCCTGGAGGAAAACTGTGACAAAGATTTTATCTTAAGGTTTTTTGTGCTGTATTTTGCTGTTGTACTGCCACGATGAAAACTCAAGCATGAACCACAGACAGACTCAGGTCAACCTGGACATAAGAGCAGGAGCACTATAACAATTCAGGCAAAGAACGGCCTGAGAACGACTGTCCATGCACTTTGTGTATAATTTGGAAATTAAATGAATTGTTTAAAGATTGGATTGATGTGGTTTTATATCATGTGCTTCTTTGAGCTGAGGGTTTGGTTTGGTTTGGTTTGATGTCGGGGTTCTTCATTTGGGGCCTTGCAGGAGGGAGGAGATGCAAGGAGGGGTGAGATGATGATGGTGGAAGGTGACTAAATAATGTAAGGAAACTGAGGGTGGCTTGAGACAACAGACAGACACGAGAGGAGCGGCTATCAATGTACAAAGGAAGTGGTTAGAGGTGTGGCTGAGGCGTGACCCCGTTCATAAACCTTAGTCAAATAATTGCTTTCAAATTATATTCTCAGTTAGAATCTTGCACCAGAATGAAATACAAAACAAACTGAAGACATTTGAGACACAGTGACTTTGTGCCGACTACAACAATAAGCGTCCTTCATTTTTCCTAGTTGTGTACATTTGGTCCAGGTATTACTCATGTTTTGTGGACATTAATGTGTTTAGACAGTCACATTGGAAAACTTATTTTATGGGAAAAAAGAAGTCCCCGAAAATAAAACATTAAATTCTAAGGGGAAGACGTTTAAGGTTAAGGTAAGCCTAAGTGCAAGTAGAGTAAGGCTGGAATCATTCTCCAGTAAATCAATATAGCTCAATGTAGTGTCTTCTTTAGTTATGGGTGTGTGTGCGTGAGAAAGAGAGATGACTTGCCTTGTTATAATATTGTATCTATATGTCGTGGTTCTCAGGTCCCTAAAAAGAAGTAGTGAACTCCATGAGACGCCCTGTATAAGTAGAGCTTAATGAACTAATTATTGTTTGTTGAGTTATTGTATGGACTCTGGCAAACAATTCCCACAGGAAAGGACAACTGCATGTCTGTCCAACAGACTATTTAAAGAACAGAAGTGACTGTGTTGAAAAGCACATGGATAAATTCTGAGTATGAGTATTCAACTGTAATGGTTTTCTAGAATTGCACCACAAGTAGTGAGGCCTTTAAGTCAGAGGTGGTTTGGAAAGAGATCAGTGTACGTAGATATATTTGGAACACATTAAATACATTGTGATTACTGGCTGGTTTTCTGAATAGACCTATGAAAAAGAAACAGTAACACATATTAACATCATTAATAATAATAATAAGAACACTTGTCTTAACAAAGTTACAAAGTGCTTGACAAATACATGGGAATAAAACAACACAGATCAAAACAAGACAAGGCAAAAAAGACAGGAAGATAAGATAAAAGAGAATATTAAAATCAAACATCATCTGTTAACACCAATTAGAAATCAGAAAAACCTCCACAGCTATACTCAAACCCCCATGTCCATATAGAACACTGGCCGTGTCCACAGTCCATGTCCAATCTCTTCATACCTGAAAGGTGAAAAAGTGCTTGAAAATACAAACATTAATTTTAGAAGATAGGACAAGATGCTAAATATCCCTTGTACAGTCAAAGATCCTCCGCACAAGTTTAATGATAAGCTGCTAACCACCAACAGACATTAGGGATCACCCCCCCATTACAAAATTATTTTGGCTTAGATTAGATCCACATCCCACACATCTCACATCCAGCCCACATACCACTTGGAATGATGGCACTTGGGCTCTCCGCTCCAGTTTGCCAGATCTGGACCAAAAATAAGTCATAGTAATACCGCATATCAACCAAAGGTGGCCAAAATTTGTTTTGGGCTATTCTGCCATATTTACCATTTACCACATGAGCCACTAAAGGTTCACATCCAGATTACACATTGCCACATATTTGACAAAAAAGGCTCACAATTATTGTGTGTTATTTGAGTCGCATTTGCTATTTTACAAATACAAATCAATTTTTGTCCGGGCCACAAGAAGGCTAGAAGTGCTGCATCATTGCCTTTAGTGCTCCACATCCATTTGCCATCTGGGCCAGCAGATGTTAGCGCCCACCAGTGTTAAGCATAACCTATACTTATGTATAGGTTAAAAGGCTTTAGAGCTCAATCAGAGTCTGATCTTATAGTTTTTTGTTTAAATAAGTCTACAACAAGGTGGTTCTACGCTGCAAAACGAGAACAAGGCTCATGGAAGGGAACACATGTCAAAAAATCAGAGGAACACTTTTGTCCAAATATAATGGCATGAGGAATCCAGGTCCAGGCATTAATATTTCAAACCACTTTAAGTGACTGGACCTGGATTCTTCATGCTATTATTATTTTTGGACATCCTCAATGTTTAGCCTGTTTTCTCATTGCCCTGACTCATATCTTACAAAATCTACTGACAGGGAAGCTGAACTTTTTATTCCAGTCGGTTTTCTAGCACAACATCACCACACTATATATGGTCGATGATGTTATGAGTTGGTCATTGATGAAATAATGAACACCACTTTCTACTTTAAGAGCCCAAACCAACGCCATGTCTTCCGTGCTCTGATTCCACCCTGATGAAACACACGCAGCAGAGTGAGAGGCGCTCCACAGTGATCACAGTGATCACAGTGATCGATGAGGCTTCTCCATGTGCAGATAAAACCATCACACGCAGATCGATGCTTCTCTCCCCACCGCTGCTGCAGCGTGGGGTTTCCCGGCGCTAACTGCAGGGTCACCGCGCCCATCTCGTCGTTCGATGGCCGGAGGAGAGCGATCGCAGGGAAAGGGCAGATGTTGAGACGGGCAGGAGGGTCACAGAGAGCAGGCTGACTTCTGGACTTCCAGCGGCGGTGAAGATTTAGCCCTTTTTTTTCGTTTGCCTGGACTGTGTCTCCAGTACATAGCTAGTGGGTGTGATCCTCCCTCCTCCCCTCTCCGGTTGGTTGACGGAGGTTGTCAAGCTCCCTTTAGCTGTAGCCTGCGCACGGGAAGGGCTGCTCCTTCGGAAAACCAACGCTAGCCGGCTAGCTAGTTAGTAAGCTAGCGCTGTGGTGTTCGTTGATGCGTGGATCGGAGGTTTACGCCGTCTTGTTTTCCGGTCAATGCCCAAACGCAAAAACAAGCTCAAATTGACTAAGGTAAGGTGAAATAAACCCAGGATCGTGGCACTTCTCCACCTTTCACTGTGTGTGTTAATGGTATTAGCGGATGTATTGTGGAGGAATTGCAACTGCCCGGGGGTGGGGTAGCGATGGCTAGCTCCCTAGCTACCTACTTAGCTGCGGTGAGCTAACGTGTAAATTGGCTATTTAACAATAAGCGAATATAAGTAGCTAAGCCGGGGGCTGTTTGCAGCTGTGGGTGCCGGTGCTCACCATTTGCGGTGAAACAACATATTTATATTAAACTTGATCTCCACGCAACTGGCTCATACAGCCCGTGAAACGAGTTAACTACTGCTCGCGTTAGCAAAGCTGCTGAAGTAACGTAAATGCTGGGCAGCGAGGCTCCATGTCAGCGATGGCCCCGCGGAGCTGCTTCCTGGCCTAAAACCCAGGACTTACACTACCGCTGAGTTTCCAGCCACATCGTGCAGAAGGAGAACCCGATGTTAATGTTTGCACTTGAGGTTCAATGGTTTAGTACTCAGTGGCTTTGTTGGCCGAGTTGAAGAATTACATTTAGAGATGTTGCTGTCACTTGATGATGAAACACTGGGCTGGGCTGGAAAAAATAAACGTCCCGTGAACAAATGAATAGTAAATGTTGATCATTGGTGACAGTGCAGCAGCCAGCATCTCCAGCCCACTTCAGATTAGCTCGTTGTATTTACACATATCTAACTAATGCACCTTTGTCAGCGTGAGTTATTGTATCCGCGTTAACACCCTTTTTTTTTTTTTTTTTACGAGCCGAACTAATAAGTTAGCATGTTGCTGCCTCCCTGCAACGACACGGCCGCCCCGGTGCAACGCCTTTAACGTAGGTTAGCAGCGTAAGTTATTTATCAGCAGTTAGGAAATGAAGAGTAATACAGCGAAGGTAAATGATCATCTAGTTTATGAGAAATCACCCGCATCGCTGCTCGCTTAAGTCAAACAGGCCATCGCCGCCCGACCTTGCAGTTTTCACAGGCTCGAATCCACTGAAGCATCAGGAAACCAAGAAATAAACCGATACGTGCTAATCAAATCAATCGGGCACCGTTTGCGTTAACGGGATTATTAGCGTGCGAGTAAGTGGATTTCTGCAGGCCAAGCAACCAGTTTCTGTTTAACCACCATTGGCTCACGAGCTAACTGTGCAGCACTCGATGTAATTGCGGAAGAGAAGCCGAGTCTTCCCCCCCGAAGTAGCCGTGGGTCGTTATTTTGCTGTAGATGCAGTTTGATGTGGGGTTTGTCGTGAAAGTGAGTGGACGTTGCTTTCGCAGGACGATTTTAAACCGCAAGTGAAACTGTGTCCAGCGACATGAGTATATTGCTTTCGTGAATAGCAGCTCTACCCTGCCTGCAGGCCTCCGCTGCCGAGCCTGCTAGCAAGCTAACTAGCGGACAGCAGTCTGCAAGATGGCGTTTAGCTGCATCTTCTCAGATTTCTATCAGTGCAAGTCAAATTATCACTACACTGTCCCGCGCTCAGTAAATGTACAAATCAGATCACACGTCGTCAGACACTAACTGCCCCAAATCATCAGGGAGTTCTGCCACATTGTGGAGCTGAATTCGAGTCCAATTTCTCCAGAAATGTGCGTGGAGCCTGTGTAGACCAAACCTTCTAAACAAATGTGAGGGAACAGCCTGGTTTAAACATCTATCCGGTAGCCATTCAAATGCAATGCAAACGATGGAACTGTTGAAGGCAAATCACAGTACTGCAAACAGTCACTAAGTCAACTATTAGTACACCAAATACTGTGTTTGAGCGAATCGGTGCACAGAAATCACTAAGAAAATACACATGCTAGGTAATATTATGTAGTATGTTGTACTTTTATGTCTACTATCTATCACGCATTAGTATGTAGTGTGCCATTTGTGTGTATGCAATTAGCAAATACATTTTGTGCACCTATGAATAAATTCATTGTAGTGTATCAGAGAAAGGGTGGTACTAAATATACAGTATCTGATCACACTGGAACTCTGGAAGAAGCAGGTTGTATCCGGCATGATTTCAGTGGCCATGTGAAAATCCAGCCACTTGTTTTAAGCATGCTGTGTGTAAAAGAAATGAGATTAAACTCATCCTTTTATGATTGGGAAAACATATTTCTAATGCCTCGGATGGCTTTGCCAGCTGTTTATGTTAGTAGACATGGATAGGATTATAGACTCATTGACTGAGGATTTTAGCTTTTAGGATTATGGAGTTGCTCAGTGATATTGCTGGTTATGTTTTTTCTATGATCCAGCTTTAGCAGGGAAACAGTGCATTATCATCGTTTAGCAGTTCAGATAATCTGACTGTCCTCTGAGAACACATGTTTACTTAACTGCTAGAGGGAAAAAGCGATGCATGTTTTTAAATTTGAACCTAAATTGCAGAAGACACCTTTTGAAAGAAGCAGACACAGACTGCACTTAAGGGACCCGAGAACAGCTAGTGAGCTACAACTCCAGGCTGTTTGCCACTGCTCATTGTTTATCATGCAGTCAGCTGACTGTGATCAGGCGCTTGGAAAGGAGAAGTGATGAGGGAGACGAACTCCTTAACTGTAAGCATCCACAGAGGTCAATAGGAAAAAATATTTCTGAATGTGGAATATTTAAAGCTCAAGTTTATAAAAACGACTCCAGGCTATTCCACTTTTGGATTAAACATAGCAGTCATAGGTTTTGGTATAGAAACAGGCAAACATCTAAATGAATTGTTTATGGTTATCGCCAGATTAAGTGTTTACAAATTAAATATAACTGAAGAGCATTTTCATATTGACCATTTTGAAGACTTCCCTATTCAGTAGTGACCAAAGGAGTGTGTGAGGTTTAACTCAAAAGCTTTGAATTTGTTTCATCAGATCTGCAAATGAAAGTTTAATAATTACTTTACGCTTCAATCTAGATCGAATTATTTTGCTGTTTAAATTGTTATTGTTACAAAATTGCATGTAACTGGTTGTATCCAAATGAAAGTCTGGCTGTGGGCATTTGTAAACTTAATCTGAAAATACAATTCAGTACAATTAAAAATAGACACTCATCAACTTAAATCAATTTTCCAACAGAATAGGAAATTGATATTGTTTTCTTAAAAATGTTCAACTATTTTCAGAAGTTCTCAAGGGGATAATGGCATTCTGCTGTCACTTGTTGAAACTGCACAATAATTACATTCCATGACACATTTATTATAAGATTAATAAGCATAAGAGGATAATCTGTGTTTAAAAAGGTCAGCCAATCAGAGGATCTAAAGGACAACGTAGTCAGGTAGAGAAGATTTTCAGTCTTGTCCTGAAATCTCCAGTGACATAGGCTACTGATTGAAACACAGCAGGTAAGGGAAGGCGAGGTTATTGAAACTGAATGTTGCTCTAGTTTTGGCAAACTTTTAAATCTGCATCTGCTCATTTTTAACATTGTTATTCTGCAGTTTGAGCTTTTATGTGCTTTGAATTCTACAAGGTTCTTACTGAAGCTTTTAAACTGAAGAATTGCCTAATTTATGTTACTTTCAGTTAAAATTGTGTGTGACTAAGTCTTGGTTTTTAATAATACACGTGTCTTGCCAGAAAGTACATTGACTGATTTACCACAAGAGATGGGCACAATTTAAACACACACACACACACACATTAAGAGTATAACACATTTGTTTCCTGTGTGCTTCTGTTTGACGCACTTCAATAATTAATTGGATGGACCTGAGTGCAGGGTCCATTTTCCAGGGTAACATGAGTTAGTAAACAACCAGTGACTGTTCTCAAACTAACGATCCAACTTTTGATGTGATTCTAAACAATTAAGTATATTGAAGCCGTCCACAACCAGCATGCATTGTGAATCCTTTATATACTTTTTTTACTGCTTCAATTCAAGAAAGTGAAATTTGTATGTGTCACCAAACATTTGGGTGGCCGTATTTGTCACAGCGTATTGCAGAAATCAGTAATGTGACACAAATGAAATACTCTATTCATTTGCTTTCACTTTCTCAGAATTGTTCCTTTCATTTTGATCAAGGTATTCTGAAAATGTGGTTTCCATGGAATATTGTTTCCTACAGTAACTATCAGTTTTTGTACTGTGCATGTAAATGAAGCCAATGTCTTACACAGAATGTCACATAAAGTAAAAATCATTTGCAGTGACTTTCATGGCTTTGTATGATAACTGTCAACCGTTGAACTTGATGTATACCATAATGGGACCGGGCTACTTGGGTTATAAATTAAATATTTAGAATTTATTTTATACAATGCATTGTGAATGTGCCTCAAGGCGCTGTATTAATATAAGTAGCTTATTAATCATGGATAAAATTCTGAGTATCCCTGGGATTGAGGTCAACAGGATAATGACTGCGGTTCGGATCATTGGAAAGTCATGCCTTAACAGGATTTGTCTAGCGATCTAAATTGTGTCAGGATTATAGTCCTGACATTGAGGTAGGAACCTAAGGTTGAACCACAAAATCTGTACATTACACATCGTTTGGTCAAATGAAAAGTCAAAGACAGTGAGTTGGCTGAAAATGGTCTTCGTCCATTACCTCCTGTCGTTAAAAGAATTGGTTTAGGAAGCTCGGTTCAGAACCACTTATGGTTTAAAAGTGACCTTGAATTTTGAATGAGGAAGATTTGTGTGAATGATTAAAGTGCCTCATATTGTTCTTTTTTTAGATCAACAAGTGCCCCTGTAGCTGGAGTAAGGTAATTGAAAAAGCGGAATTAAAATGAGTGAACTGGACCAGTTACGCCAAGAGGCAGAGCAGCTCAAAAATCAGATCAGAGTGAGTAACAAACCACTTCTACATATGCCTTAATGCTATTATTAAAAAATACAGTCACACATTTAGACATTTAAGTCTGTACAACAAAGTTTGATATGAAATGCAGAAATTCTGCCCTTAACATTTGAGTTTTCTTCATTTCAGGATGCCAGGAAAGCATGCGCAGATGCCACACTATCACAGGTAATGGTAAACACTAGGATCCGTCTCTTAGTTTGAAAACCATTTGGTCTTAAAAAAACCAGAATACTTACTGTTTTGTGTTTTTATTTTCCCAGATCACAGCTAATATTGACCCCGTTGGCCGAATCCAGATGCGTACAAGACGAACGCTCCGGGGTCATTTGGCTAAAATCTATGCCATGCACTGGGGAACAGACTCCAGGTAAGCTGAATTCAAGGATTTATTGCTGATTGGAGATCTTGACCATGTGTCTAATTCTGTTCTTTATGTTATATGTTGTGTGTGTGAAAGTTAGATTACATTTTATGCTGATGTATTTCTTATAAAATCATTTCATTGGGATTTATATACATTGGGCAGGAAATATTTTTGCCTGCAGCCCTTTTCCCCAGTTCTTTTACTTCTTCTAATTCTTGATTCTAGATTTTGTGTGTTAACACCAGTTTTAGATGAAGTAGTAATGGTTTAATAAATGCTCTCATTCTTTGTAGGCTCTTGGTCAGTGCCTCTCAAGATGGCAAGCTTATTATTTGGGACAGCTATACCACAAATAAGGTATGTCATGTTTTTTGGATGTAATGTACCAATGGTTGAGTGTGTGTTCTATAATGTGAGAGTAAAGTGATAACAGCAGCAGCAACGGCATCTATTTGTACGTCAGTATTACCACATACAAGTAGATAGTCGTTGTTACTGCATTTTCAAAAGTTGAGGCACTCGGAGGCAAAGTAGATACAAATGAATGATGTTGGCTTGGTCTCTCAAGTGCTTTATGTCTTTGTAATAAAGAAAAATTACTTTTATAATGTTTCCACTGCTTGACATTTTGCAAAATGCACCCATTCATATGGAACTCATGAGGTTATACTTGTACCAGAAGGAGAGAAACAAACTATAAACATGCTGCATTCATTTGGATTAGAATCAGAGGGGATGGTATCAGAGAAAGTGAGGAAGTATTTGTGGTCTTTGCCTTGGGGCTGATGTGTCTGATGTGCAGTTAGTGGGATGGGTGGAAGTAGCGCCCAATTTCTGTGTCTGATGGGTTATTTGGCTCTCTTCACCACAGGCAGAAAAATCAAGATTTATTTTGTCTGCACTCATGAAGAAACTTTGTGATGACGTGAAAAAAAAAAACATCCCATTGAACTTGATGCAGCGAACAACATTTCCAACTGTGAATTAAATGATTAAAGGGTCATTCTTCCAATGTATCTCCAGACCTACCTTAAAGTGTGCAGGGAATCACAAATAGAAACACTGACGGTTTCTGCCTCATTATGTTGACTGTGAGTTCTTGCAAGTAGCAGCTTATTAACTGATGTACACTATCATGTTTCAATCAAAATGGAATGGATATGGGTGAATATACAGGATGTTGTCTCATACCAAAGCAGTACAGTCTGTGCTTTGTTCTCATTTCACTTGCTCTCATAATTGGGTCATGGGTGCTTCACTCTGTGACCTGGCCTGGGTGTCACACTGATTTTGGTCTTGGAGCACAATTGATCACTAGTTTACTGTTAAAAAATAAAAAATATCTCCAAGAAATATGAATTCTGACCTTTTAGGTAAAACTAGCGACTCTTATTTTCTTTATTTGTCTCTGTAAAAATATGTTTGTTTGTCTCACCATTGTTATAGGTTCATGCCATTCCACTTCGATCTTCCTGGGTCATGACCTGCGCGTATGCACCTTCAGGAAATTATGTGGCCTGTGGTGGCTTAGACAACATCTGCTCCATTTACAACCTGAAAACACGCGAAGGGAATGTACGTGTGAGCCGTGAGCTCGCTGGACATACAGGTATGTGGTGTACACTGATTGTTGTCATCCTTGATTTATGCATGATTGAGATCAGTCTCTGTGAATTACCAAGGAAACAAACAAATTCCAAACTAAAATGAATTGCAAATCTCTTAACAATGTACTCAACATCCTGAGGCCATACTGTATGTTCCATGTAAAAATCATTAAAAGAAATTGGTGGTTCACTTGTACAACCTAATTTACATGTATTTACAAGCACTTAAAATTAGCTGGAAAACGTACGTTTAAAAGTGCAGTTTGTGGAGAGGTGTGAAATAAATGGATCAAGACAGAAAACCATACATGATTTGTGTGTAATTCCCAAATCCAGGATGTAATAATTTAATCTAAATATCTGTAACTTAGTTAATTAACCATCTGCTAGTAAAATATGCAATTCCATATTAATGAACCCCTTTGTTGATTCTTTGAACACCAGGATACCTGTCCTGTTGTCGCTTTCTTGATGACAACCAGATTGTTACAAGCTCTGGAGATACCACTTGGTAAGAAAAATAAATTCTACCTCTATTACCATCACTGGCATAATTGTTAAACCAGCATTTTTGTGTGAAAGCTACAAATTTGGAGTTTGTAGAAATAGAAATATTTTAATAGTGTATTTTATTTTGCAGTGCACTTTGGGACATTGAGACTGGCCAGCAGACAACCACATTTGCTGGACATACAGGAGATGTCATGAGCCTGTCATTGGCCCCTGACTCTCGATTATTTGTCTCTGGTGCTTGTGATGCCTCTGCTAAACTCTGGGATGTCCGAGAGGGCATGTGCAGACAGACATTCACTGGCCACGAGTCTGACATCAATGCCATCTGTGTAAGTAGTTCACAGAATTCCAAACTATGCTTTAACAACCTTTAAACAACTATCTGCATAGGTTTGCCCTTTTGATTCAGTGTATTCCTCTATTGTGAAGTAATGATTTATCTTTTGTCATTTTCAGTTCTTCCCTAATGGCAATGCCTTTGCCACGGGCTCAGATGATGCTACCTGCAGGCTGTTTGATCTGCGTGCTGATCAGGAATTAATGATCTACTCCCATGACAACATCATATGTGGCATCACCTCTGTTGCATTCTCAAAGAGTGGCCGTCTTCTTCTGGCCGGATATGATGATTTCAACTGTAATGTGTGGGACACACTAAAAGCAGACCGTGCTGGTAAGTAATTGAAACATGATCTCAAGTAGCAGCCCTACTCTCATAGACTAGATATACAACATGACAAAATTAACATGTTTGCTTGTTTTTCGTCCCGTACACCAAGTTACATTTGTGTTACTTTCTCTAGGTGTTTTGGCTGGACACGACAACCGTGTTAGCTGTCTGGGAGTTACTGATGATGGCATGGCCGTTGCAACAGGATCCTGGGACAGTTTTCTGAAGATCTGGAATTGAAGCCTGAAGGTTCTTCTTTTCTTTCTTTCTTTTTTATATTGTTTCACATTTTCCTACATTTGTTCTTTGAAGCTGTTTCCGGTAAAAACTTGTAGTTGCACGTGTCAGCCTCATCTTTTTCCTGGCTGGAGTCGAAGGTGATGTGGTGATTGTGCTACTTTTGTTGCCTTACAGGTTAAAGAGAGTCGTGGGTTCATTAAAATGTCTTTGTTTCTTTTGCTGGTCTGCATATTTGAGACGTCTGTTAGCTTGAATGGACCATGGCATTTTCTTTTGACTTGCATAATCAGCAAAACATTCTTGCCCCTATATTTGCAGTAACTTGTTGAAGCTTTTTTTCATACAGGCTGCACAAAGAAAGTCATCTGGTACATATTCTCATGTTGTGTTACTATGTCAGAGCACCTCAGAATGACATTTTCAGCCATTTACACTACGTTCACACTGCAAGTAGTGCTCAGTCCAATTAAATGTTTCTAGATCCAATAAAAACATTTATGTTGCTGTTCACATTATCTTTTAAAATGTGGCCGGTATCAGACTCCAATGTGAACTGGTCATGGCCCTGATGTGACTCGCATGTGCAGAAGAACAACAAGATGTCACACGCAGCACATTGTGTATAGAAGTTAACAAGGAGATGTCTGTGATAAACATGGAGGCCACAGATGTGAGAGTTTATAATTTAACTTTTCTCTTGATACGCTCTCAAACGCAGACAGGTAATGATACGACCCCTCAAGTTTTGCTTTTCACGTGTCATCCAAAGTACTCACGAGGACTAAAACCTCACTGTCCCCCCACTCAATACCTCCATCGCTGCGAAAATTTACGAGGCATGTCGATCTAGAGTGATGTAAAAGTTGCAATGAATTCTGATACACATGGAAAAAAATCTTTATCTTTAGACCAACATATGAAAGTTGCCCAAATCTGATTTGAAAAGATTAGATTCCATATAATTTGTGCTGTTCACGCTGTTATTAAACAATCAGATCTGGGTCACATAGGTGGGGGCCGATCCGGGCCACTTGTGCCCGCTGTGTGAACGTAGTGTTTGTCATATTAATAACCCACAGCCAATACTATATGTATATGATTTTTACACACATAGCCATTTTCATTAGATTGAGTTCCCTGAAAAAAATTTTACATTGGCTTTTGCAGGCGTCCCCAACAGCCCAAGAAATGTTGTAATATACTTTGTTTTATTTTCCTTATCACATTATTGCAGGTATTACATTACAAGTAATATACTGGTAATACCTTTACTGGTATTTACAATAATGTAAACGCTAAATGAAATGATTAATATCTGGTTAATGGGAAACATATCTGGTTAATGGGAAACATATATCATGTAAATAATCCAGCAGCTAATTTCTTTGCAATGGGACACAGTACTCTCTGGTTCATACTCCAACGTTTTATTTTATTGTAAGTGCAATTCATTTGTCAGAAAACAGACAAAACACACAATAAAAAAAATGAAAGATTAATTTGACTGGTAGCATTATTATTTTTTAATTATCAGTAGAAAACAAGATATCGTCATTGTGAATTCTTGGCCACAATCATCCATCAGTTATATCACTTATCCTTTGAGAGTCACGGGGCTGACATTGGGCGAGAGATGGTCTCCATTGGGACATGTCATCAGCGTAATTCAGAGCTGCCATATCAATTATTTTTAAACAATCTGACTCCCCTAAAGCTTCTAATGAACACAAACAGCCTTAAATTTACACTTGTCAAAAGGTCAGATTAGCTAAATTGTAGCTCAGGTTAGATTAGTTACATTCTAAATTTCATTTGTCTTTGTTTCCCAGATGTTCTTTTAACTCCAAAGTTGACTGGAAGACCATTACAACTTCAGAATGTTCACAGCATCTTCTTCAACACTGTTTAAACTGACTTGGACACCACAAAAACGAAGGGAAACCAATGCCTTTCCTACACAAAGAAGAGCACAATTGTTTATCACCTAGTTAAGAAAGGATCTCCTGTGGTATCAAATCAGAAACTTGTGCATTCCTTCTTGGACCATTTTATGTTACCCTGAAAGAGAAAAACAACAACACTATCATCCCATGCAAATGTGTGCGTCTTGAAAGCAAATGTTGGAGTGTAATGTACAAATTATTTAACTTTTTTTTTTTTTTTTTAAAGAATTATATTCTGATGGTTTGTTATTCTTGATGGCTTTCTTTTTTGTCATATTTCTTTAGTGGTTTTAGATATGTTTGAATTTCAGCTTGTCTTTCTAATCCAGTTAAATCATATAAGACAGATGAGAGAAAACACGCAGAAGTAAAAGCTTGGATCATATTACACGAGCAGCTTTCAAAATGTCCATGATGTATTTATATACTAGCTGTTTTTGTTTCATCACAGCCTTTTGCACATGAAGAAGCTTTGCCTCTCAACTAATACTATGTTAACTAACAAAGCACATGCTATAAGTTATGAATGCTCATTCCAGTACAAAAGGAGTTATTACGAGTAACTTATCCAGTTAACCCCCTTAATTCTTGTACATGCCTTTGACTTTGGGTGGGAAGGGGTGGGCTAGTGCGGTAGGTGCAGAGATAAATGGGGCATGGCTGGATTTTATTATATGGATGGGAGGGATTGTGTTTAGTATCCACTTTGAGTGAAACACCTCACCTGACTAAATAGACACTTCCTTTGCTTGGGACTGCAGTTGCAACTCTGTGAATGAAATGTACAAATCAATGTCTGAAAATAATGGTCTGATGTTTTAAGTTAAGACATTTAATTTTGTCTGCCATGAGTTAATTTAGATGTGCATGCTGTAGACTTGCTTTCAATGGTGCAACAATCCTAGATTTTCTTTTGTTTCTGAAAAGGAGAGTAACCTATTCATTGAACTTAATAGCAGCCAATTTTTTGGGCTCAAGCTCTGCATACATCATGTACTAATACTGGTAACGCTATGCACCAGAGTGAGCGAGAATGGAGAAAGACTTAATATTGACTGCATACTTAGTGTAAATTATGCTTACCAGTTCTCTTGATGCCAATTTTTGTAATAATTATAACAATCATTGTGAGAATTCTATTCCTTGAAGTCATTTTCTCTCCTTCAAATCTTCACACTCAATGGAACAATAACGTCCTCACATACTGTCCATACTAAAACTTTTGTACATTTTTTTCTTGGTCTTAAATTGAAAATCAGAACATCTGAATGACAACATTTCACTGTGTACAGAAGCACTTTTGTTAAAGTTGTGACATATTTTCACTTTTCCTTTTTTTTCTGCGATGATGTACAATAAATGTGATGTATTCGTGTGTGGCCACAAGTGAAAACGCAATTCAACTGAGATGGATTCCCTTTTCTCTTTCCATTAATATTATAGAGCTCTGCACCCTTATGTACCTTTTCACTTTTTGTATTTCATTTCAGTCTGTTGGTGTTCCACGGTGAGCTGGATGCAAGATAGATACTGTACTAAATTGTACTGTTATTGATTGAAAAATGTAATAAAAAGCTGTTTGAGATCTCTACTTTTTGTTGAGTTGAATGGAAAAGTGTTTATAAATGATTACTCCCCTTCGCCATATTGATGTGCCATTCAGATTAACGTTTCTTTGCTTTGAGGACAGTAGTACAAAGGGAAAATTGCCAGTATCAAAAATCTCATGTTTGGCATGTATTTTTGGGGGGTGTTTTTGAGTATAAGAAATCTAACAAAAAATGATGGCTGGACAACAGTATACTAGCTGTACTTTTGAGGGGATACATTTCAATTTGCTTGTGTTGCCTTTTACCTTTACAGGTATCAAACTTTCAATACTTTAAAAACGGTCCAACCAACCAGCACTTTAGAATGAGTTAATCATCTGATAATACAATTCTAATTTAACATTCTCTTATCCTGGCTTTCACATTACCTCATGTAATGTTTATTTTAGTTTTGCATATTTGTAGCAGCTTTTATTTCTCTATGTAAATGTAGCTCATAAGAAATCTTTTCAGATTATCATCCAATTTATTTTGTTGTATAGAACTGCAAGTACATACTGCTTCAGGACAACATGTAGAACTTTACTAAGACTTACCGTTTAATTGATTTGTATGTATATACCTGCCTTAAATATGATAGTCCATATTTTTCTTATAGTTAATAAATCCCATCTCCTATAGAGCTCCACTTATGTCCAAAAATCTAGAAACTGTGAGCCACAGAATTAAACTTAGTAACACATCTGTCTCACATACACCCCCTGCTGCTGAAAATACTGACTAAAGCACCAAATATCATTAAATGCATGACAGACAATACTCCTCCACAATATCAATAACACTTTTACTTTCTGAATAACTTGTTAAAAACTACATTGTCCAGCAACTTTTCTGTAGGTTAAGTACCAAACATGGTAGTAAATAAGCATATCCTTGGGTTTTTATATTTTTGTTGTATTTGCTGAAAATACGTAAAATGACTGTATCCTCATTCTTTAAAATGTATAAATAAACTGTGCTTTTTAGTTATTGAAGTTCCATTACTTTAATAACCCACTATTTATACTAAATGTGTACGATTTTAACACGTCAAAGTTTTGATAATTAATTAAATTAATGTAAAAATATATTGTAAATAATAATATTGCCTTTTGTTTTATTACTTTATTGCATGTATTACATTACAAGTATTATACTGGTAATACTTTCACTGGTACTAATGGCAATTGTGATACAGGAAAGTGACATTTTTAATATCTGCTTAATGATACACATCCTGTAAATAATCCAGCGGCTCATAGTTTCCAGTTTAGTCATTAAAATCACCAGTAGCGTCTCTGCAGGTCATCATCGTGGACTTTAGAGCTTCACACACTTTCACTCCGGGTCTCCAGCGGGCCGCCATCTTGCCTTCTCTGCAGACCAACATGTTTACAGACGCAAGCTGGCGTCGTGACTGTACCACAGGGCAAAGCTAGCGACAGGAGGGGGGTGTCTCAAAACAGTAATAATTGTTAAAGTTACTACTCATTCAGTTTTACTGCACCACATGTGATAATAAAACAAGACAATGCAATGGAAAAGTTGGTTTTCCAGGTTTATACAGAAGAATCCTTTATTTTCGACGTGTTTGTCGGTCACACAAAGTGCCATGAAATGGAACGGTCCAAGCTGATGACGTAGCTGTGCTTTGACTTGTGTAACGCAGCCATCTTTGTAGGCCAGCGAGCTGCTCTCATCTGTCTCCTCGTGGAAGAAACATTTCGCCAGGCTGCTTTTCTTCAGGACGACGCGGACGCTGCGTACAGACTGCGGAGCTTCTTCCTGACGGTGGGAACCATTGTGAAGGAATCGTTTTTTGGCGAATTGGTTAGCGGGACACCGTGCGCACTTCCCCCCCGCAGGTCACATTTGCACGGTCTCTTCGTCCGGTGTTGACGACGCAGCTCCAGCGAACAAAGGAAGAGTAAGGCCGACACACACCTGTCAGCTCCGTCCGGAGGAAACACTTATGCCAGTATTTAAAATAACTCTCACCCACAGGCTGTGTTGTTTCAGTAGTTTGACTTGAGAAATATTAGCTGCGAATTAAACAAACCCATCGGCCTGACTCATTCAGTCCCGTTAGCAACATCGGCTAAGGTTAGCCGCGTTTGTGGACAAGTCGCGAGCTACTTGCTAACGTTAGCACAGCTTTGTTTGGAAAGCGAGAAGTTTTTGTTTGTGGACGAAAATGGCCGAAGTGTACATTCGAGTAGCGGAGGAGGAAAATGAAGAGCCCATGGAGATCCCGTCCGAGGACGACGGCACCGTCCTGCTCTCCACCGTGGCCGCTCAGTTCCCCGGGGCGTGCGGCCTGCGGTTCAGGAGCCCCGTTTCCCAGTGCATGCGGGGGGTTCGTCTTGTGGAAGGGATCCTGCACGCACCGGAGAACGGATGGGGCAACGTCGTGTATGTCGTCAACTATCCGAAAGGTAGGAAACATGTGGTTTTGTGAACACTTTTATTTTTACTGCGTGCTTTCCAAACAGGTGGCCATATTTCTTGTTATTTATAATTGATGATGTAGCCTGAGCGCTCTGAAGAGGGGACGGGAGTGAACTGACGTGTAGTGTCCACGCCCACAGGACTGAGTCGCTGAATAATTGAGATAAGAGTTAAAATAACATGAACATGCAAAGTTCACAATCTATTATCTACCTCGTGCCAAAGCTGTTCAAACTCTTTCTACGAACCAATGTTTCTCAAAAGGCGCCTTTTCATTCATCACCTGTCTCAAATCTTGTTTAAAGTTAATTTATTTTTGCAAATCCCCTGAGTATTGTTTTAAAGACCTTTGAGGGTTGGGAAATCACATATTCTTTTGTTCAAGAGCTCTGATCTTATATAAACATCACTAAATTGAAGTAGTAGAAAGTACTGGCACAAATGTAAAAACAATCTAAATCCATATTTGAATTATTTAAGACCTCATCCGTAATGAATGCAAGTCTAATTTTAACTTGGTGAACCCCAGAGAAACCTTTCAGAGTAATGTAGACAGGTTTTGATTCAGCTTTCTGGTCATTTCTTTGATGTTGTATTTGATGATATTTGATGATACTTACTCTCTATAGAATTCATCTTAACAAAATCATAAGTACTTTACACAACAAAACAAATGATAGTCATCAATAATAATGATCATGCTGAGAGGAGATGGTAATATTTACTTATATAGTATTTGAATACATGCACATAAATGAGTTAAACAGTGTAGTGGAAAAAAAAAATTTGAATGTCGTACAATTGATTGGTGGCTGACAACTACAGCTGCATATTCAAATGACTTTAAAGTTAATTTGTTCTCAAGAGTTATTTAAAATCTAATCAGTTGTACTCTTAATTTAAATTTTTTAGACAACAAAAGAAAAATGGAGGAAATAGATGCCTCCTCTGCTGTGAAAATGAAGAGAGGCGATATGAAGACGTCTGACCTGATTGTACTGGGTTTACCTTGGAAAACATCTGAGCAGGACCTAAAAGACTATTTCAGTACATTTGGAGAAGTCATCATGGTTCAGGTATACCTTGAATAACATAAATAAATTACATATTTACTTTGTGTTGTATTCATTGATCATTAATAATGATAAGTCTATCTTCCAGGTGAAACGAGATGCCAAGACTGGAAACTCTAAAGGATTCGGCTTTGTGAGGTTCACAGAGTACGAGTCTCAAGAAAAGGTCATCTCCCAGCGCCATATGATTGACGGCAGATGGTGCGACTGCAAGCTCCCTAACTCGAAGGTGAATCTGGTAATGTCAATGAACATGCCCACACATCATGGGAAATGAAAACTGTGTGAATTAACACACTATAATGTTCAGTATTTCTTTGAATTAATTAACATTATTCACTGCAGGGTCCGGATGAGCCACTGAGGAGTCGCAAAGTTTTTGTTGGCCGTTGTACAGAAGACATGACCACAGACGACCTGCGGCAGTTCTTTATGCAGTACGGAGAAGTGACAGATGTCTTCATTCCCAAGCCATTCCGTGCTTTTGCCTTCGTGACATTTGCAGACGATCAGGTATTGTATTGAGTGTAGGGCTGGACGATAATTATCACGATACAACTTTTCCTCAATAGAAATATAAGACATGGTCAATATAACGTTGTTGATTAATTTCTCATCCCGTCCACCAACAGCCAATAACAATGAAAATAACGCCGCGCTGAACCATTCACTTGGCTGGAATAGAGTTAGAGCCACATCAGAGTTCATAAATGCTATGTCAAGCGTAGGAGCAACAGCACACATGCTAATGTTTGGGCTCCTGCACATAGGTGTACGTCTCTGCATCGATTACTGAACATAATCATGTTGTCTCCTATGCTACTTGTTTTAGCGGGTTTTCACCGCTGTATAATTATAATCAGCGCTGCTTCAGGATCAGGTCAGACCTTTGATAAAGGTCCGGTCGTCCTTTGTTAGAGTCTTATTGGGATTGTTATGATTTAGATGACAAGATTTCGATGGTGTCGGATCATGAATCGAGATCCTCTGGTTATTTTACCTCTGAGTCCTGACTGTATGTGTCATGTCTCATGTTGTACTGTGTGCACATAATAGTAGAGTCATTTTTTATGATGTTTAAATGCAGCTTTATAAACTATGGAGGAAATCAAACAAACACTAAGGAAACTTCATGTACTGATCAGGTCCTGAGACTGTGTGTGAGTGTGTGTAAACTCTCGCTCCCAGTCTCAAACCACCTTCAGCAGCAGTAGTAGATGCCTCTGTACTGCTAACACCAGCTGTGAATGAGGAGACGTCATGTGGCGCGTGGTAAAACGTGAGCGGCGTACATCTCACGTTCATCATATGTAAACTGATTCGTTCAGTTTTGCATTCACCAATAATTGTTCATACACAACACTGACCTGCGCAGAATAACACGCCTCAATGCGGTGGCACTGGTTTCATTAATATTGCATTATATCGATATATACAGACAGATACACAAACCATTATCGTGATAAAAAGATATCCATATCGCCCAGCCCTAATTGAGTGCTTATAAATTGCTTCTTGTTTTAGTGCTACTCAAATCCAGAGAAACTGATTCATGTCTTTTTCCCCCTCACAGGTTGCCCAGTCTCTCTGTGGAGAGGACCTAATTATCAAAGGTGTCAGTGTTCACATCTCAAACGCTGAGCCCAAACACGGCAATAGGCAGTTTGACCGCACAACACGGTTTGGTAATGGTTTCGGAGCGCAGGCTTTTGGTAGCAGCCGTAGTGGGTTAGGGAGCAGCACTAACAGTAGTCTGGCTAATTTTGGTTCTTTCAGCTTGAACCCAGCCATGATGGCGGCCGCTCAGGCTGCTCTGCAGAGTAGTTGGGGGATGATGGGTATGCTAGCTAGTCAGCAGCAGACATCCACCTCAGGCAGCACCTCCAGTGGAACCAGCTCTAGCAGGGACCAGAGTCAGTCTTTCAGTACAGGCAACAGCAATTACGGCACCAGCTCGGCCAGTCTCGGCTGGGGAACAGGGTCAAACTCGACAACCAGTGGTAGTGGCTTTAGCTCAGGTTTTGGGTCCAGTATGGAGTCAAAGTCATCTGGGTGGGGTATGTAAGTTATGTGTTTGTATGGTAAGTATTGTGCGAAAGATGAGTCTTTTCAACAAAAAAAAGTTTTTTTCTGGTGTTAATGCGTATCTGAAAACTCAACACTTTTGTGGAAGATGTTTTGTACATTTGGAAAAATGCTAAAGATTTAATTTAGAAAGTGTTGAAGTGAATTGTTTACCAGGATGTCCGACTAAAGTGCTATTTTTGATGTTTGTTTGTATCCATTTCAACTGGATTCTCTAATGCATGCATTGTGAAATGTGATTATACCCATTTTGAAAATGCATGAATGTCTCTGATTCACCATTATCAGACGTTGTCACCGACTTAAAAAGGCAATCTTGCATTGGGAAGAATCTGGTTGAAACCTAAATGTTTTTATAAGTGCATCTTTATTTGCAGTCAAGTTCTATGGAAAAGCCTTCATTGAAATCTCTTCTGCAGTTCACCTCTCTTCCATTTTCCTGTGAGGAAGCTCCTCTTTGGGGTGATATCGGTATCATTCTCCCTCTTCCCACCTGTAAATGCTATGCCATCAAAGAACGGCTTCACTCCGCATGTTCTAAGAGACGGTGGGTGTTTTCACTTTTATCCACTTTTAAAATGGAAAGAACTGCGCAACTGACATTTTAAGAACTGATGAGTGCGATTGAGGATGGCTTGTGGCGAAGAGTGAAGCGGTGAGTGAGCGAACGGAGAGACGCGTGAAACGGACTGGTTGTGCGGTGAAAGAGCCCAATTTGACTGCTTTCTGAGTGTGTGAGTGGAAGCTGCGGATGCTACGAGCGCCTCCCCTAACATGGACATTCTTTAATTAGTACTTCAAGATTTTTTTTTTTATCTTTGCAAGTTTTTCCTTACTCTTTAAGTATGTTGCTCAAGTGCAGAAATATCAACTGTTGTGGAATGTTGTGATGAATATTTGTATTGCTTATATTATCTGATTTGAATGCTGTATGGTGTGTGCTTTCATGTTACTGAACTGATCTGTAAGTGTGTACTTGATGTGGATGACACCTGCTGAAGACTCTGGGGGACGCGAGTGATAGTGTGAGAACGTGAAGTGGTGTGTCCAATGGTTCCCAGTAGCTCTTGTTGTTTGTGAGGTGTTTGAAAAACATGTCAAATGAAGGGAGTTCTCTAATAAAGTTCATTTGAATAGATGCTTAGTTGATATTACTTGAGTCAAATTAAAAAACAAATCTAATTCGATTCACATATCTAGGGACCTTGGGCTCTGCTGGTCGAGGTCTCCGTTTGAACCCTGACTGAAGTCTGTTCTGAAGGATGAAGACGGAAGTTCCAACACTTTCAGTGTGTGGCCTTCTCAAACATGACATGGGGTAGTACCTGTCTTTTTGCTGATTTTACTCGCTTGTCAGATTGAATCATTCTTAATCAGTTGCATTTAAGGTAAGACGGAAGTTCTTTAGATAGCCCTAAGCATTATGGGCAGTTTGCCTGACAATCGTAACAGTGTTGAAGTTTCCAAGTGTAAAACAGAATGACAATTCGTAAACAGGAGAAATATGCCAGATCGGTCAGTTTGAAGTCAACACCATTTAAATAGACACTGAAGTCGTCATTTTAATACAAGTGTTAGTTTATAAATGTGACAGAACAGAACCATTCAACAACTCGACATGACATTGTGTTAGGTCCCTGAACAGAAGTGCAAAGTAAGTCTAAATGTGCATTGGAGAACTGCTGTAGCTGATTATGGCACTTATGTTGACACAGATTACTGTCATGTACTAGTCAGCCTTCATGTTTATTTGAATGTTGGACACAAGTGAGACACTACAGGTCTGTCTGTGTCTTGTCCTTATTCTTTGCTTTCCTCCTCAGTGTCTCTGCTCTTCCTCTTCCCAGTATTCTTCTTTTTCAATTCCCTCTGCTGGTTCAGTTCTTCACTTTTATTTTGTATGTAGATGGACTGAAATGAATAAAGGCAAATTAAACATTTGAGTTTGCTGTCTGCTGTAGAATATATATTCATTTACTACTGTGTTATAAGGACGGAACTGCAAAGTTTTTGATGCCAACATTGACAAAGAGCCCATTCTATGGTAAAGAAAACAATTCATACAATTTAGATGAGATACATCAGTAAAAACTTCACTAGGATTATTTTATATTCAATGCCTGCCGAAAAAACTACTTTCACCTAAACCTTACACACTAGACCTTTAAAGGTTCAGTGTGTAGAATTTAGTGGTGAATTTGCATGTTGTAGCTGAATATCCCTCACCTTACCCTCCCCTTCCAAACATAAAATAAACCTGTGGTAAACTTAAATTTTTGTATAAGCTCAAAAGGTGTTTAGTTTGTCCAGTCTGGACGACTGTAGAAAACATGGCAGCCTCCGTAGAGAGGACCCCCTCGTGATGTAAATATAAAGGGTAAAGAAACAACAATCTGTACACTTCAGATGAAACACTTCAGATGAAACACTCATGAAATCATTGCTAGGATTCATTTATATTCAATTTCTGCTAATAGACCCCTTTCACCTAAATCTTATACACTGGACCTTTAGGTTCAGTGGAAACAACTCACCAATGCAGTGCTGCGTCGGGCTAAGAGCTTTACATCCTCTGTAGTCACGGTGCTTCTTTTAGCATGCCTTCAGATCAAATGAGATAATAGGAGGTTTTACCAGCTTTAAGTTATGGAACAAAAGACTTCACAGGGTATTTTGACTGAATTTAAAGTACAAGTTAAAGCTATAAAATAAGATTCTCACCTTGCAAAGGCCTCCAGGTCTGTAGCAAATACATCTGAGGAAAAGTCAAAGTCAACAATTAGATGCAAAGTTTTATTGACTACAGGCAATAAAAAAACGAATAAATATTATCAGTTGGTAATAAAACTGCATTACAATGAATTTTCTTTTACATACGCAGGTTCAGAATAATACAGTTCTTTACAGTCAGTTAAACACTAATCAACAGAAAACTGGCAACTATTGATAATTGAGTATTTTTGTCAAAATGCCATCTCTAAAAAAATACCTAATGTTGCCCGGTTATTGTCTATTATAATGAACTCCTGTCAGGGGTTTGGACACTGACTCAACCAACAGTTAGTTGCTGTCATATTGACACATATTTCTCTGGATTGATAACAACACAATTTGCTAAATCTTTCTGTTAAAATGTAGCATCTTTTGCAACTTAAAAATATAAATGGGAACATCAGAGCATAGTTCCCATCTCAGCTGAAGACCTACTCAAGTCAAGTAATCATGGACTCAGCCAGACAAAGAGGAGGAAGAGTGTCCAGGAGACAGAGGAGTTTGTTATGTGCAGTATCAATGCACTGAATGCTGAGTGAGTGGCAATAAAAAATAATTTTGTTGTGAGAAGTGGATAGTAAATTGTGGCCAAATGCAGAATACAGCTTTATGTAGCCCAGCGTTACATCTATTGTATATATTAGTTTTTCATATGTGTATGATAATTATACATGCTTTTTGTATTATAATGCTAGAATGACAAGTTTTATTTTGTGAATTACTCTCCAAAAAAGTCAAAATCAGAATAAAATGTATCAGTATATTGACAATTAATTAGTGTTTCACAAGTTTGTGCACTTCACAGCAGTATGTCTGAGTTTGAATCTATAAAATTGGATGTACTGCATGTTTCTGATAGAGTTCACAGGACCGGACAAAGCTTGTGTCATCGCTCACACCCACCACATTGTCGGAATGTTGTCTCAGCTATCGCTGCTACAACTTGTCGATTGAACTCTCTTCGGTGGACCTCTCCCATCTTCTGACACAGATGACCCACAGTGTAGTGCACCGCCGCCTTTAACCTCTGAATTTAAACATTAAAAACCTGATTAGAAGATTCAAGATGATGCTTCATGGTAAATAGAAGAGGATAGTGTAACTCTCTCGATGTTATTTAAAAAAAAGAATCCTTTTTTAAGCAGGAATGTTCCATTGAGATACAATGTCTCTTCTGCCAGGGAGACAAGGTGAACAGCAAAATAAAAAAAGAATTCTAAATGAATGCAAGCAGTGACAGACAACAGAAAAGTATACTGAAGCACAGCAAACAGACTAAAGCACAGATCAGATACAGAAACAGGGAATCAGAGGCAGGTTAAAAGCAATGACTGTGTTCTATGAAAACTGTTTTAAAAAGATTTTTAAACTTGACAACAGAAGGTAAGAAGTGCTAGTTTAGAAAAGCTCATTCCAAGAATGTGGTGCATGAATGAAAACAGCAGATTTACCAGTTTTGTTTTGTAGTTGGGACGTTCAGGAGAATTGACTCTGATTAACTAGTATTGTAGCTACTGGGACAAACTATCAACAGACAAGTATTGTGGAAACTTCCCCAGTAATGCAATAGCAAACAAAATAGTTCGTTAAAAAAGTATCCTAATGAAATGTGATATAAATGTATTAACATTTATATCACATTTTCTGAATGAATTCCCAGCTGTGTGTGGTATATAGTTGTTAGTGGTAGTATAGTTAATCATCTAACGTGACCTGGACCCATGTGTGCAGGACAATAGAACACAGGTGAAGCTATAACTTAATATTTCTTATGTCTTTCACAGAGCTCAATTAAAATACTACAAAGAAAGTGGAAACAACCCAGAAAAGACACAAAACGAACACAAAGATGGAAAATGAACACAATAAACAGCATGAACACAAAGAGACGAGAAACACTTGACATTGATCACAAAGACACGCAAAATGGTCCCAGAGACAAAATAATCACAACAAATATTTAACGACAGACACAAAATGATCACAACAAACAAACGTTCGAAAAGAGACTAGAAACACTTGACATGATCACAAAATGATGACAACAAATATAAAACGACCAGAGAGACACAA